TGGACACGGCATCCAGGGACTTCTTCCTGCTTTGCAAGCAGTCTACCCACCGAAAGACACCCCCAGCACCCCGCAGGTGCTCCCTAGCCTTCACAATGAGCTCCCTATAAGACAAGGGAGGAGGCCAGAGACAGAAGGGTTGAGCAGTTGGCCTGTCATCACAGAGCCAAAGAATGCCTGAGAGCCTGACTCAGAAGGGCAGCGCTTAGAGGAATGGTCTGGATGGCCCAGAAGGCGATGGGTCGCCAATGTCACACTCGCTGGTGAATCACGACGTCTCCCTTTCTGTAAAAACCAACGCCGCACTTCCAGTAAGGGCTGGAGGAGATGCTGCATGGAAAGGGCTCGGTGCTGTGTTTCTGGCACTGAGGCTCAGGTGATGGGAGGGATTGTTATTTAGCCAATTGGAGCAGCCACTCCCCAGCGGAGTTTCATTACAGCCTGTACATAACAGGGCAGCCATAACGGAAGCTGCTCTTGTGAGTCCATAGGCAGCATTGCCGGATTCTAGGAGTGCCCTTGGGAGTTCCATGAGTCAGAGAGGTAGGAGAACCGTCAGCCTTGACCGTGAACGCTTTTAGGACAGGGTCGTGTTGGTGTCATCATGCCTGAATCTCTGTGTATTCCGTAGTGGCCGTTCTCATCACTGTCAGAGACAATGCCTGGCACAAATGTGGGTATTTCTCTGTTTGTTGAGACAGTATCTCTATTTGTAGCCTTGGCTGTCCTGGAACTCATTATGTAGACCAAGTTGAACTTGAACTCACAGAGATCCATCTGTTTCTGGGGTTAAAGGTGTGCAACACCACACCCAGACAGATTCCGGTTTTTAAAATTGGCAAATGGGCTGACTCCAGTTCGATCCCCAGGATCCTCATGACGGAAGGACAGAACTGGCTCCCACAAGTTGTTTTCTGATCTCCGACATGTACCTCAGCACGCATGCACCCACCCCCTACACAGACTGCAATAGAAATTTCACAACAAAAACGGTATTTTAAGTAGCGTGGGGTGGTGCAATGCACACCTGTAATTCCAGCATTTGGAAGATGGAGGTTCAGGACTTCAAGGCCAGTCTTGGCTAGACAGCAATTTGAGACCATCCTGGGCTATGTGGGATCTTGTCTCGAAATGGAAACAGGAACTGGGGTGTAGCACAGGGGTCAGAGTGAGTACATGCTCACATTTAATGAAATATTTTTTAAATATTTTCTTCTCTCTCCCTCCCTCCCTCCATCTCTCCCCCTTCACCGCCCCCCCATGTGTATAAGCACACTCACAGTGCGTGCGTATGTGGGAGTCAGAGAAAAAATTCTAAGCACTCAGCTCTCTTCCTCCATCTTGCAGGCTCTTGGGGACTGAACTCAGGTATAGGCAGAGTTTCTTTCCCGCCTGGTCCCGCTGACCTTCAGTTCCAAATAAACACACAGAGGCTTATATTAATTATGAACCTGTTTCTATTAATCTACATTCTGCCATGTGGCTTTTACCTTTTGTCAGGACAGCACACTCGGCCTCCTCTGAGTCTGCTGGTGAAAATCCCTTTTTCCTTCTGGGCATTCTCTCTCCACAGAAGTCCTGCCCTTTATGAAACCAATGGCACACCTTCATAGTGTACAAAAAGATCATCCCACAACACCTGGCATGTGCCCTTTTCCAGAGAGAACTTCCTATGGGCTAGGCGTGGTAGCAGTGTCTATAATCCCAAAATCTGCAAGGTGGAGTCAGGAGTCCAAAGGGAGCCTTGGTTACATAGTGAGTTCAAGGCCAGCCTGGGCTACGTGAGACTTTGTCTCAAATAAGAGGAGAGAAGGGAAGGGAGGAGACACACACACACATCACACACTCACACCACACACACACACACTCACACCACACACACACATACACCACACACCACACATACCACACACACACACCACACACACACACATACACACACCACACACACACCACACACACATACACCACACACACATACACCACACACACATACACCACACACCACACACACACCACACACACCACACACACATACACCACACACACACCACACATACCACACACACCACACACACACCACACACACACCACACACACACACCACACACATATACACCACACACACATACACCACACACACATACACCACACACCACACACACACCACACACACCACACACCATACACCACACACACACCACACATACCACACACACCACACACACACCACACACACACCACACACACACCACACACATATACACACACCACACACACCACACACACACACCACACACACACCACACACACACACACATACACCACACACACACATACACCACACACACACCACACACACACACATACACCACACACACACATACACCACACACACACACACACACACACACACACACGCACACGCACACACACCAACAAAACTGGTATCCGGAAGGCTGGAGAGGTGGCTCAGTAGGCAGATGCTTGTGTAGTACACAAGATAACCCTGGGTTCCTTCCATCCCCAACACAGACAGGAGATGAGGAATTCAAGGGCACCTCTCCTCACACAGTGAGTTCAAAGGTAACCTGAGCTACATGAGACTATGGGTTTTTTGTTGTTGTTGTTTGGTTGGTTTGGTTTTTCAAGTTTTCTCTGTGTAACCCTGGCTGTCTTGGAACTCACTCTGCAGACCAGGCTGGCCTGGAACTCACAGAGATCCTCCTGCCTCTGCCTCTCATGTCCGAGTCCTGGGATTAAAGACTTGCACCACCACTGCCTGTCAAGACCCTGTATTAAAAAAAAAAAGACAAAACAAAACAAACAAAAAAAACCCTTTCTATCTGAAGAGAACCAACATAACTTGCAGGTTTGCCCAAACTTTCACCTGTAGACACAAAAAAATTCTTCCATGAAAACATTTTACAGTACAGTGAATGACATAATACAGTTGCAGCCTGACCACATTCAAACAGACTGGTGTTATTATTGTTACTGGAGACAGTTTCACTGTGTAGCTCAGGCTGCCCTCCTACCTAAAGAAATCCTTCTGTCACAGCATCCCGAGAGACTGCAGGCGTGAGTCATGGTGCCCAGCTGACAAGTCACTCTTGTTTTTAGATCCGGATGAAACACAAAGCCAGTGAACAAACGGGCGGAGTTCAGGACGCTGTGTCCACACGGGGGCTCCTAAGGCATCAAGTCTTAACTCTCGTTCTACCCGATGTGCCATGCCCAATGACGTCAGTGAACTCCTGCTAACTCTCATCTTGTCTCCATCCCCATCTTAAGACCTTATATATATATATTTTTTAAGGGCCACTTCTTTCTTTTTTAAAGATTTATTTATTTATTATGTGTACAGTGTTCCACCTCCATGTATGCCTGCAGGCCAGAAGCTGGCACCAGATCTCATTATAGATGGTTGTGAGCCACCATGTGGTTGATGGGAATTGAACTCAGGACCTCTGGAAGAACAACCAGTGCTCTTAACCTCTGAGCCATCTCTCCAGCCCCCAAGACCTTATATATTTTTAATATGATATCATTTTGTTAATTTGGGGGGAAATTTTATACACGTATACAATATAATTCAATTATATAGACTTCTCACTCCTCCCCATACATCCCCCACCTCACCTCACACCCTTTGAACTTCTCTCTCTCGTCTCTCTGTGTCTCTCTCTCTCTGTCTCTCTCTCTCTCTCTCACACACACACCTCAGTGATTCCATTCCAATTTGTTTTTTGTTTTTGTTTTTGTTTTTTTTTTTGGTTTTTCGAGACAGGGTTTCTCTGTATTGTTTTGGAGGCTGTCCTGGAACTCGCTCTGTAGACCAGGCTGGTCTCGAACTCACAGAGATCCACCTGACTCTGCCTCCCAAGTGCTGGGATTAAAGGCGTGTGCCACCAATGCCCGGCTCCATTCCAATTTGTGATGCCTGTATACTTATGAGTACAGATAGATCTACTTCCTGGAGTAGGTCTGTACCAGGGTTGACACACTTAAAGAAAACTATCTCTCCCTTCTACAGAAGCCTTCAGCTTTCAACAGCTCCTCAGCTAGGGGAGGGGTCTTGTGGCTCCTCCCCCTTCAGTGCTGGCTGGACCTTGTGCAGGCAAACACAGCTGGTGTGAGCTCTGAGAGCAAGGTCCTCCGGCGTCTGCCCTGACTCTTAGTCTTCCTGCTCCCCTCTTCCTAGATGACGCTCATTCTCTGCGGATTAGTTCAGCTTCTACCTGGACCTTTGTCCACTATACAAAGGAGCTTTTCTGATAAGGTCTAGGAGCTGCGCTAACCTATAGGTAAGGAGATACACAGACACAGAGGGCAGTTTGATAGCAACGTGATAGCGGTAGACTCACCCTTGGGGATGGGCGGAGATTAATGCTCGCTATGAGAGGGTGAGACCTTATTCTCTTCAGCAGGGTGAGGTGACCACACTTCTGTAAATGATTCTAATAAAGCTCACTGGATCCCCAAAACAATACAAACAAACAGACAAACAAAAGGACAGGAAAGCAGAAGTCAGTGGGAAAGAGGAAGGGAACGGGACAAGAGAGGGTCTCGGGTGCCAGTGTGATCCAATGCATTGTTCACATGCATGAAAATGTCATACTAAAACTTGCTAGATGTTGGGTGTGGTGGTGCATGCCTTTAATCCCGGCACCCAGGAGGCAGGCAGCTCTCTGAGGTCAGCATGGCCTACAGAGTGAGTTCTAGGACAGCCAGAGCTACACAGAAGAACATAAACTAACCAAACAAACAAAAACCCCTGATGGTTGAGTTTTAGATTCATTTATTTTATGTGAATGAATGCTTGCCTGCATGAATGTGTGTACCATGTGCTTGCCTGGTGCCTGTGGAGATAGAAGAGACAGTGGATCCCTTGGAACTAGAGTTATGGGTGGTTGTGAACCTCCGTGTGGGTGTTGGGATTCCAACCTCTGCAAAAGCAGCAAGTGCTCTTAACTATTGAGTACTCTCTCCAGGCCATGTGTGTAATTAACTATGTTAGTAAGAAACTTAAACAAATTGAGTAGTGACTTATCTGAGGTCAAAAAAACAACCAAGACTCACTGGGAAGAGATTCAGGGTCAGGACAGAGACCTAGACTTGGGGAGAGAGGGCATTCTGGAGTACCGTGGGATGGGGGTGGCCCTGTCTGGACATATTTGCCTGCAGAATTGGCATTTATGAAGGAGTGGAGCGTGACACGGCGGAAGTCTCCAGGCCCCGGCTCGGGGCCTCAGGTCTAGCAGAAGGTGAGGTGGGTGGAGGCAGGGACACCATGGGCCTCCTTGTGGTCTTCAAACAGTTGCTCCAGAGCCTTCATGTAGAGCTGGTGATAACGGTCCACTTGGTCTTCAGTGGGTGTGGGGCACTGGGGCACATGGATGGGGTGGCCCACTGCAGGGAGGGGAGGCATGGGTGACAGGGCTCTCCTGCTGCAAATGGAGCTGACTCCCCTCCCAGAGGCCTGGACTCACCCACAGTAGTGATGGGCTGGGCAAACGGGACCAGACCCCAGGACTTGGCTGAGAAGAGACTGCGGCCCCAGAAGATGCAAGGGGAAAATCCCATGATTCTCTTGAAGGCAAGTTGGCACCGATACTGCCAGGAGTTTTGGTCAAAGGACTTGATTCTGTAGATATCATTCTCCCCAAAGGAATACACAGGCACGAGGGAGGCCCTGGGGAGGGGGAAGAGGGAAGAAAGGCTTGTGGTCTCCTCCTGCCTAAGTCTCCCAGGCTGCTGGGGTTCTAGCCCTGTCTCACCACACCCGGCTCCAAGGTATCGCCTTGAGATAGGGCTGAGGGTCTGGCGATGCTGCCCGGACAGTGAAGTGCTTGCCGTGGAATAGTGAAGAGCCGGGTTTGATTCCCAGATGCAAAGGATGGGGCTGGAGACCTGGATTCGAGCCTCAGCACCCACGTGGTACCCTACAACTGTCTCTAGCTGCAATCGAAGGAGATCCAATGCCCCTCTTCTGGTCTCCTTGGGCACCGCACACACACAGCACACGGGCGGACATGCAGGCAGGCAAGCATGCGTGCACATAAAGTTAAAGACGTTCTCGGAAATGCAGGTGCGGGTGGGAAAGATGGCTCAGAAGTTAAGAGTACGTACTACAGAGGACCTGAGTTACACTGTGCTGAGCAACTCACAGGGAGCTGCCTGTGACTCTAGACAGAGGACATGATGGATGCCTTCTCACCGCCACGTGTGTGCGTGTGTACGTGCGTGTGTACGTGCGTGTGTGTGCACGTGCGTGTGTACATGTGTGTGTGTGCGTGTGTGTCATTCTTACTACATAGTGAGATCAAGGACAGCCGGGGCTGCATGGGACCCTGTTACAAAGCAACTGTGTCGATTCTGCAGCCCCACTCACCCATGCCTTAGTGCCAGGTGCACAAAGCCTTTGCGCGTCCTCAGTTCGAGGCGGTGCTCCCCCGGAGCCGTATACAGGGATTCCTGGGCACCCCCGATCACGATGGTCACTGCCTGGCCAAGCTGGGGCTGGGACAGAATGAAGTCCAGACTGTGTCGACTCACAGGACATATCCCTGGGGACAAAAGTGGGCCACTGTCACCGCCCTCTCCCCAGCTCCCTGGCCTTCCCACCTCCACTTTTCCGTACAGAAAGAGCAAGTCTGGCATCCTGTTCCCTTCGAGTTCTGCAACCCCTGCATCCTGTACAACACGCTTGGGGACCCCCTCTGAGTAGGGCCAATGTCCAAGCCCGTTCTCTTACCCAAGTAGGGGTCTGCTGTGTAAGGGTCTTGTTAGTTATGGAGGGGATACCCTGCAACCCACGGGCACTTTTGTCTCTGTTACTGTGTTTACTCTGGTCAAAAGTGACTTAGGGGAGGAAAGGGTTTCTTTCAGCTCATAGGTTACAGTCCATCGCTGTGGGAAGTCAGTGCAGGAACTCAAAGCAAAAACCAAGGAGGATTCTCCTTACAGGAACTTTTGCAGGCTCATGCCCAGGTGACCTTCTTTTTTTTTTTTTTTTGATTTTTTTTTTGAGACAGGATTTCTTTGTATTGTTTTGGAGCCTGTCCTGGAACTCGCTTGGTAGACCAGGCTGGTCTCGAACTCACAGAGATTTGCCTGCCTCTGCCTCCCGAGTGCTGGGATTAAAGGCGTGTGCCACCAATGCCCAGCCCAGGTGACCTTCTTACACAGCCCTGGGAATGCTGTTGCCCACTGTGGACTGGATCCTCCTACGTCAGCTAATGGCTGAGATGGGTCTCCCCACAGACATGTCCGCAGGCCGGCCTGATCTGGAAAACCCCTCAGTGAGACTCCTCAGTGGCTCTAGGATGTGTCAGCTGACTCAAGGCCAGGATAAGGCTCACCATTGAACATGAGGTATTCTCGATAGATGGGGAAATAGAAGAGTCCTGCCAGCGTGGCCACCCAAGGCCTAAGCCCGGGAAAGAGCTGGGAGAAGGCGTTGCTGTCAGTGGAGAAATTGCAAAAGATTCCTGTGCCCATGATCCCGTGGGGGTGGGCACCCAGCACGTAGTTCCGGTCGGCCGGCAGCTCTGCAGTTTTCAGCAGCTTTGAGGTGTTTGGGAGGGTGTGGGGAGGAAGAGGCACAGAAGACAATGTGAGAGCCAGGTGAATTGTTCCCGCTTGTAGAGGAGGCCACTAGCAAGCCTGCCAAGCTGAGATCCATCCCTGGGACCCACACAATGGAAGAAAACCCGATTCTGACTGCTACAGGCACGTGGAGGCATGCACAAGCCCCCCCAAGTAAAACATAAACTTCAAAAGAAAAATACATTTAAAAAGCAAATAAAAACTAAAGAAGAATACAAGATAACTGCTGGGAAGAACGGCCCTTTACCCCACCAGAGTTCAAAGTTCAAGGTCCGAAGACCGGGCTAAAGGCACAGGGGGTCATTCTCAGGGATCACCCATCCCTGAGCTCAGACACCCAGTGCAGGAGGAAGGTGAGGGGTGGCAGAGAGGGAGGAGACCGACCGTCTCTCGAGAGTTTGGACTTGCACCTTGATAGGGAAATAATCTCTCTGGAGTTTCCAAACCGTCCACTTTCGCATCCAATCGCAGGGTCTTCCTCCTGCACACGGAGAGACGTGCAGGGGTGAGAGGACTCGCTGGGAAAAACTGTATCTTCCGGACTAGGGAAGATGGCTCAATTAAGCACTTGCCAGGCAGGCAAAATGACCAGAGTTCAGATCTCCGGAACTCGTGCAAACTGCCAGGTGGGCATGGAAGTCACTGTAACCCCCGGCCTCGGAAGGTGGAAACAGGAACCTCCCACCCCAGCAAGCTGGTTAGCAGACACTGCCGTATCAGTGTGTTCTAGGTTCGATTGAGAGACCCTGCTTCAGTGGACAGGGTGGAAGAGTGATGGAGTCAACCCCCGGTCTTTCTCCACAGGCGGCAGGTGAACCCACAGACACTTAAAAACAGAACAAAAATCCCCACAGGAGTGCACATCCACACAGACAACGGGGAAACATGCCTCACGGCTGGAGACGGACGCCCGAGACTTACCTTGGGTGGGTGTGTCCCAGTCCAGGTAGAGCCATACCAAATAGAGGAGGGACAAGGACCAGAGCCGGGTAAAGAGGAGGGAGAGGACCAGGAGGGTGCAGAGGAGGCCTGGGTGACAGGGAAAGATGACTCAGCTTCTGTCATGCAGTCAGCCAAAACAATCTGTTCCCCCCCCCCCCGTCTCCTCCACTCTCTCCTGGTGCCTGGAGCCCACAGGGGTAGCAGACCCCCCAGATGGCCTTCAATGCCTTTTTCCTAGCTTCCTTGTCTCTAGGCCCCCATGCCTGCCACACTCCCCGGGCCTCTCCCGTCACTCTTACCCATGAAGAGAAAAGTAAGCACATATTGGTAAGCGCCTATCACTTCAAGCCGCTGCTTCTGAGGTGTTTTCATGGTGAGAGAGAGGATTTGGGACAGCTGTCCTAGAGGCCTCCCTTTGTGTCACCAGGACCCCGGAAGCAGAGGGTGGAGGTTTTGGGGGTGTGATCTCACAGGGAGCACTTCACCTCTGGGATGATCAGATGTTGGACCTGGAGCCCCAGAACTTTCTAGGCTCCTTCCTGAACTGATCTTTGAACTTCCTTGGTCAATGAGTCTGGGCAGGTCACTGGGAGGAGCTCGGAGTGCAGAAGATGGACAGCACCCGCCTCCCTGTGACTGAGGCATTAAGGTGAGAACAGGCGTGAGGCAGCTGGCCAGCCCGCCCAGTGACCCATAGGACCCCAGACAGAGGTGGGGACCTGAGACTTTGATGTCCAGCACACAGGCCAAGCAGGGCAGGAGGACCCAGGCAGGCTGGCAGGGGCGATGAACACAGTTTGTTTCCAGCTCCCTGGCAGCCCTCAAGACCACCACCATCAGTGGGAACAATGGGGTCCCCCTGCCCTGTGGCTACCTCTCCCTCCCCTGAACTTGTACAAAACACACAAATATTTCTCGTCCATTCCCACTTTTAATTTCACCCCCACCCCCTGCAGTCAGGCAGGCCAGGACACGGGGACATGGACACGGGGACTTGGACACATCTAGGTGAGAACAAGGTGTTGACCAGCAGGGACGCCATACTGCGTCTTGTAGTCCTCGAACAGCTGTATCAGCCGCTCCACGTACAGCTCGTGCAACTGATCCACCTGTTCCCGGCTGGGCCTCGGGCTTCGCTGGACAGGAATTGGGGCGCCCACTGTGGAAAACAGTAGGGGAGAAGGATGTCCCTAAATCTCCCACTAACAGGCATCAGGCTGGACCAGCGAGCTAGGACATCAGGCTTGAAGGGAGCAGTGCCGCTCCTGAGAGAGAGGGGGAGAGAGAGATATACGGCTCACCCACAGTGTGGACGGGCGCACGGAAGGGGATCAGGAGACCCAGGCGACCGTAGAAGAGAGGCAGGGCCACACTCAGCGTCGCCTGAAGAGCTTCCTGCAGCCTCCGCACCCAGGAGCCTGGCGGGTTGGGATACTGCTGGAAGAGCTCATTCTCTCCAAAGGAGAAGACAGGCACAAGAGGAGCCCTGGAGGAGCGGGAAGAGACCCGGTGACCGGAGCCCGAAGGGACCGGGCTCCCCGCTCCTCTCTTGCAGGACAGAGCTCCGGTGGAGCTACCCCTGCCGCCACCTGCCCCTGCCGCCACCTGCCCACTCCTCACCCGTGTTCCAGCGATAATTTAATGAATCCTTTCTGATTCCGGAGCCGCAAACTCACTGTTCCAGGCTTTGCCTCCAAAGCTTCCAGGGGGCCTCCCACGGCCAGGACGGCCACCTGGCCACCCTCGGGGTGGGACAAGAGATAGGAAGCACTAGCCTTGTCAGAAGAGACTAAACCTGCGTGGGGAGGACAAAGGCCGGGATGCATGGGGACCAGCGAGAGAGAGAGAGAGAGAGAGAGAGAGAGAGAGAGAGAGAGAGAGAGAGAGAGAGAGAGGCGAACACGGGCACCCCGCCCCCTCCCCAGGATCAGAAAGGTTAGGTGACATCCATCGGCCAGCCAGGCCATCTTAAGAAAGGACTTCCTTACCACTGGTCATGATGTAATCTCGGAAGAGAGGCACTTGGAACCAGCATGGCAGCATGAGTACATGTGATCGGAGACCCGGAAAGAGGCGAGAGAAGCCTGTGGCCTCCGTACAGAAGTTGCTGAAGGCCCCAACAACCAGGACCCCGTGGGGATGGAAACCAAAAAGGTAGTTTTGGGATGGATCCAGCTCGGCCGTTTTAACCAGCTGGAGAACAAAGGTAATGGAAGTTACACGTTTCCCAGCGAGGAACAGCTTTGGAGATGGGAAGCCGCCTTTGCCTCTTTTGAAACCCCACCCATCCATCAATCCAGCCAACTTCCTGGGACCCTCACCGTGATGGGGAAGTAGTCTCGGAAATACCTCCAGATTGCCCAGTTCCGGACCCAGGCAGAACGGCGACCCCCCATCCTGGGTGTGTGTCTGTCTCTGTAGAGCCAGACCAGGTAGAGGACCACAAGGGTCCAGGCCCGGCCCAGGGAGGCTAGGACCAATGCCACCAGGCAGAGCAGGGCTGACAAGATAGAAGGGCATGCCAAGAACCAAGTGTCAGAGCAGGCAAGGTGCTTGCTGCCAAGCCTGATGACCTGAGTTCGATCCCCCGGTCCTATAGAATGACAGGCGTGATGACTTCGAGTTGCCCTCCGTTCGGCACACATTTGCTGTGAACACGCCACCCCACAAATAAATACATAAAATAAAAATATGTTTAAAGGGACTCGGATGCTTAAGCCCTTTCCTCCCCTCTGACTCACTCTCCCAGTACCATGGTATTCAAGCCCCAGACTCGTTCTAAGACCCCAGAAATTCCTACTCTGTCTCCTAGGATCATGGGCAAGGAGAGTACCAACCGCCAGGTTTGTCTAGCTCCACGGGCTCCGGGGACTCACCAAGTCCCAAGAACGAAAAGACCCACTGAAGCACAGCAAAGACTTGAAGACTCCGCTGCAGGGGACTGGACGAGACCTCCATGTTCTAGAGGGGAAACGCACGGGGGCCACCCACAGCTTATGTACACACACCCGCTATAATTCAGTACTCTGACTTCGACCCCTGGGCCTGAGCCCACCCCCACTTCTGCCCCCCCCCCGACCCCACGCGGTGAGCCACGTGAGCACTGAACTGTGAACCCCGCAAGGTAAAGATAACGCTCCCTTTGCTTGCAGGAGCTGACCAATGGGGATAACTCAGGGCGTGGCCAGGAGCCTAGGGCAAGCCCACAGCGGCTGGGGCTGAGGTAGAGAGGTCTGACATGTACTATGAGGGCCCCGCGGGCTTTTGCAGGAACAACTTTGAAAATTCCATAGTCACTGCCTGGGTCTAATTAAGGTCAAATTCCCAAGGCTAAACTGGGCGGCAGCGGCGCTCATCTTTAATCCCAGCACTCGGAAGGCAGAGGCAGGTGGGTATCAGTGAGTTCCAGGCCAGCCTGGTCTACAGAGTGAGTGCAGGGACTTCCATAGCCACACTGAGAAACCCTGTTTGGGGGTGGGAGGAAGAGCACTTACTGCTCTTGCAGAGGACATAAGTTTGATTCCCATGTCCATGTTATCTGTCTCAACTGCCTGTAACTCCAGCTCCAGGGGATCCGATGCCCTTTCCTGGCCTCCACAGGCACCTGAACACTCTTGGACACATGTGTACACAAGCACACACACACACACAAATAAAAATAAATATTTTACATAAAGATTTTTAGATTTTTTTATACTGAATCATGCGTATGGGAGGGAGGATGGATGCAAGTGCCCTTGCAGGCCAGAGGCATCAGATTCTGCTTGTTAATAAACATTTCTGGATCCCTGGGAGTAGCTTTCTCTGCCAATGCAGTAACCCAGATCAAGTCAAATTAATAAACCAAGTTTAATCTGAGCAAAGCACTCCCAGGTGACTCACGGGAAAGGGAGGAGAGAAACCACACACAGGTCTACGGACAGGGAGGAGAGAAACCACACGTAGGTCTACAGACAGGAGCTTAAATACCCTGTAGGACCAGTCTTGAGCGGCTCCAGGGGAGGAGCCACCGCTTTCTGAGGGGCAGGGTTTGGAGAGGGAGGAGGGGTGTTGAGCTTCCCAAGTAACAGTTGTGAGCTGTCTGACCCAAACTCGGATTCCCTGGGAAAGAAAGCAGTATGTAATCGTAATGGCTGAGCCATCCCTCCAGTGCCTAAGTAAGTCTTTTTAGAAAAGAGTTGGGGGAGGGTGCCGGGCGTTGGTGGTCTTTAATCCCAGCACTCAGGAGGCAGAGGCAGACAGGCAGATGTCTGTAAGTTCGAGACCAGCCTGGACTACCAAGCGAGTTCCAGGACAGCCTCCAAAGCCACAGACAAACCCTGTCTCGAAAAACCAAAAAAAAAAAAAAAAAAAAAAAAGAGTTGGGGGAGGGTTAGGGCGATAACTCAGTCAGTCAGCAAAGTGCTTGCCTTCCTGAGTTTGCCCCCACCCCACCCCATCCAGAACTCATCCGTGGTCAGAAGCTGGGCATGAGCCAGGTGGTGGTGGAGCACACCTTTAAATCTCAGCACCCTGGAGGCAGAGGCAGGCGGATCTCTGTGAGTTCAAGGCCAGCCTGGTCTACAGACCCAGGACAGCCAAGGCTGCACACACACACACACACACACACACACACACACACACACACACACGCACGCACGCACGCACAAAGCTGGACATGGAAGTTTACTGTAATCCCAGCACTGGGGAGGTGGAGACGAGAGGCCCAGTAATGGCTGAGTTCCAGGCCAATGAGGAGAGACCCTTTCTCAAAGACAAGGTGGATGGTAACTCCCAATGACATCTAAAGTTGACCTCTGGCCTCCACCCCCACCCGCACCAGATACTTGGGAAAGAGCCACTGTCAGAGTCTCCTGCCTTTGTGGCCTCTCACTCTACCTCCCCTGACGCAGTTCCTGTCCCAGATCCACGAGGTCCTGAAAGAGGTGGCACAGTAGAGCTGGGGGGGGGGTTACTCAGCGGACACTTCAGTACACAGCTTTCATGGGTCTCTGGCTCACCAAACCAGACTTGGATGGGATAATTCCTTCTTTGTTGCCCCTTTCCTCCAGCACCCCACTCCCCCTTTTGAGACACAATCTCACAAAACTCATTATGTAGTCAAGAATGGCATTGACCTCCTACTTGGGATTAGTGGCACGCAGGGCGTGGAACCCCAGACTTCAAGTTTGCTGTGTGAGGTGGTACTTGGCAGCCAAGTAGTGGTGGCACACACCTTTAATCCCAGAAGCAGGGAGGCAGAGGCAGGCGGGTATCAGTTCAAGGCCAGCCTGGTCTACAGAGCGAGTTCTAGGACAGCCAGGACTGTTACACAGAGAAAGAAACCATGTCTCGAAAAACAAAACCAAAAAAGAAAGAAAGAAACAAAATCCCCCCAAAGGGAGTGGCGCTATTAAGATTCCCCGCCTTGTTGGAGTAGGTGTGGTCTTGTTGGAGGAAGTATGCCACTGTGGAGGCGGGCTTTGAGGTCTCAGATAATACTCAAGCCATGCCCAGTGATGTAGTTTACTTCCTGTTGACCAAAAGATGTGGGACTCTCCGCCACTTCTCCAGCACCATGTCTGTCTGCACGCCACCACGTCCCACCATGATGATAATGGACTGAACCTCTGAACACTTAAGCCACCCTATTAAACATTTCTCTTGGCTGGGCTTGGTAGCTCACACCTTTAATCCCAGCAGTAGGGAGGCAGAGGCAGGCAGATCTCTGTGAGTTCGAGGCCAGCCTGGTCTACAGAGCTAGTTCCAGGACAGCCTCCAAAGCCACAGAGAAACCCTGTCTCGAAAAACCAAAAAAAAAAAAAAAAAAAAAGAAACCCTAACTAAGACACTAGGCAAACAGTCTACCAACTGAGCCCCATTCCCAGATCTGTTTAGCACTTTCTCAAAGTGACTGAATGCCAGAATGCAGGAGGTGATCAATAAAAAGTTCTGGGTCTCCACAGACGGGCAAAGCCCATGCTGTCTCCCCTCTGTCTCTGCTTCATGAAGGCTGCCACTTCCAGGACCTGCCAAAGGGGTGTTTCCTCCTGTCCTCTCTCAGATCACTGCCCTCCCTGGGACGAAAGTGGTGACAGCCAGGGGAAAGGGGGTTAAATGCCATTCCTCTGGCCGGCTCCTGCTGAGTCCCCAGTAAGAGGTATGGATCCGTGGGAAGCATCAGGGGAGCGCATAAGCACCACATACACAACCAGCACACACAAGCGTTCAAACCACGTGGAAGTGTGATCAGCCCCACTGCCTGGAAGGTTTTCCTAGGAGCCTTGCTGTCAGGTGCAAAGGAAACTCCATTTCCTCAAATTCTGGCGGTTAGGAAAAGCCAGCATTCCTCAGGAACTTGTGGGCTGGATCCCCTCTGCAAAAGGAGCCGTGTTCCTTATCACTGGCAGAAGGGACAAAGGCTATCTGCGTTGTCCATTGGCACTGTTGTCCCCAAGTTGCAAAGTCCCCACAGACCCACTAAACTGCAAAAGCAAGGTTAATGATTGTTCATCCACCCGTGACAGGGACCCCGTCTAGCAAGCTGAAGCAGCAGTCCCTAGAGGGAGTGAAGTTCCCTGTCTGCTGCTAGGTTTTATAGACAAAAGTTACAGGATTACGTCAGTAGGTACGGGTTGGTTTCTGATTGACATTTGGAAACAATTAGGAGCATTTCTCAAAGTCATATTTTGGCATGAAATACCTGTGTACCAATTATTTTCATTGGTCAGTGCTGAGAGGGAACATTCTGTGGCTTCTATGGCATTGTCTTGTTACTTGCAGGTGGCCTGTTGTTCATAGATACCAACAGTTTTCAGAACTATATCCTGGAGACTATAGGGGAGATTTTGGTCTCCCCTGGAGTTTCTTTTGTGACCAAACAGTTCCCAGGAACCAAGTATCTAGGAGGCTAGGGGGGTCTGGAGTTTCTTTGTTGTCCAGTTTGGCCCTGGGCTCTGGGAGGCCAGAGGATCTGGAGTTTGCTTGTGTCAGAGGCCTACGTGTCTTTCCTGTAGGCTGTCATGGCTGCTAAAGCAGGGGCTGAGTGAGGGTCTGGTCCCTTTGTTTCTAGATTATTAGAAGTGAAGCCCTTGCACTTAGTTTACCCCTTTCAGGCTCATGCTGGCCTCCAGCCTCCCTTAGTATCACAAGTACCTGACCCTCCTCACGCACCCCTCCACCTAAACTTCCTCCAGGTTGGGCGCTTCCCTCCCCAGAGCTGCTCGCTCTCCTCACAGCCCTGGTGGTTCAGCTATTCTCTCCCTCTCTCTCTCTCTCTCTCTCTCTCTCTCTCTCTCTCTCTCTCTCTCTCTCTCTCTCTCTCTCTCTCTCTCTCTCTCCCTCTCACTCCCCTTGCTGCCTTCCTCTTCCTCCCCCTCCCCTGCCTCTATTTTTCCAGACAGGGTTTCTCTGTGTAGTCCTAGCTATTCTGGAGCTTGCTCTGTAGACCAGGCTGGTCTTGAACTCAGAGAGATCCACTCTGGACTCTTCCCGAGGCCTCTGCCTGCTCTCTCCTATCTATGATAAAAACCTTCCCTTTTACCCTATGGGATTGGTTACATCATCAGTTTAGACACTGGGCAGAAGGAAGGGACTCCCTGCAATTATGGAGGAGATAAGAGGCAGAAAATGTACTATTGGTGGCCAAATCCATTTGATTTTAAATTTTCTTTTCTTTTTTTTTTTTTTTTTTTTTGAGACAGGGTTTCTCTTTGTAACTTTGGAGCCTGTCCTGGATCGTTTTTGTAGACCAAACTGGCCTTGAACTCACAGAGATCTGCTTGCCTCTGCCTCCCAAGTACTGGGATTAAATGCATTCACCATCAATGCCCTTCTTCTTCTTTCTTCTTCTTCTTCTTCTTCCTCCTCCTCCTCCTTCTTTTTTTTTTTCCCGAGACAGGTTTTCTCTGTGGCTTTGGAGGCTGTTCTGGAATTCGCTCTGTAGAGCAGGATGGCCTCAAACTCAGAGATCCGCCTGCCTCTGCCTCCCGAGTGCTGGGATTAAAGGTATGCGCCACCAACGCCTGGCCCAGCTTCTTTTAACTTCTGGAAAATACTTGTGTGGGGGGTGGAGTTGTGGAAGCGCACATACCTGGAGTGCCTGCAGAGGTCAAAGGGTTACTTGGGGGTCAGATATGACAGCAGCAGATGCCTGTGCCCAGAGGGCCACCTCCCTGACCCTAACTGTTCTCTCCCACACTGCTGTTCATCACTGAAGGGAGTCAGGACAGGAACTCAAACAGGGCAGGATCCTGGAGGCAGGAGCCCATGCAGAGGCTAGGGAGGGAGCTGCTTACTGGCTGCTCCTCATGGCTTCCTCAGCTGCTTTCTTATAGAACCCAGGACCTCCAGCCCAGGGGTGGCGCCACCCACAATGGGCTGGGCTCTCCCCCACTGATGACTAATTAGGAAAATGCCTTACAGCTGGATCTCATGGAGGCATTTCCTCAATTCAGGTTCTCTCCTTTCAGATACCCCTAGCTTGTATCAAATTGGCATAATCTCACAATCACACAGTAGAAAACAACCTATTCCCACAAGTTCTACACACACACAGAAATGTACAAAAGGGGGCGGGGACTGGAGAGAAGGTTCAGAGGCTGAGGGTGCTTTGCTGGACCAGAGTTTGGTTCCCAGCACTCAAGTCAGGTGGTTCTCAGCCCAACTACCTGTGACTCCGGTTCCAGGGGGATATGAGACCACCCTGTGGACACCTCCACTCATGTACACATACCCAGACTTACACACACATAATTTGTTTAAAAAACAGGAATAAAGGAGAGGGGATGTAGCTCAGCTGGTAGACCACTCCACCAAGGGCTCTGGGTTCGATCCCCAGCACTGCATAAATTGGACATGGTGACACACAACTGTATTCCCTACAGTGAGTTAGAGGCCAGCCTGGGCTACATGAGACCCTGACTTTATATAAATGACTCATGGACTCAACAGTTACAAACACTCCTTTATTGTGAGGCTGAGGAAGCTCAATAATTTATCAGGCAGGGAGCCCCCAGAAGTCCAATCCTGCCAGGCAGCAGTGGCGCTCACCTGTAATCCCAGCACTCGGGAGGCAGAGGCAGGCAGGTCTCTGTGAGTTCCAGACCAGCCTGGTCTACCAAGGATAGTCAGGGCTACACAGATACACAGAGAAACCCTGTTGGGGGTGGGGGTAGGGGTGGGGGTGTGTGTGCAGTCCCCCTGAGTCCATGGGGTCAGTGGGAAGGTGGCAGACCCCAGGGACCTCCTGAGAGGGGTGTTGGGGTCAGAACATTCAGTGCAAGGCACACAGACACACTCAGAAAATGAGAAGAGCCCGATGCTGGCTCTCTCTCTCTCTGAGAATTGCGTCCCTAGTTGCCCAACAAGGCACAATGGCAGAGAAGGGTTGGCAGACTGGCTGAGTGTCAGGGGTCAACAAAGGACACCATGATGTATCGAGTGCCCCGGGTGGTAGGCAGCCCCTCGTGGTAGTGCGTGAGACGGCCAGGGTGCAGGAGGGCCCAGCCCTTCCTCGGGGATGAGACTCTGCAGTCGTAGCGCAGGAAGCGGCAGCCCCCTCCCTGGGAGATGAGAGAGAGCACAAGAACAAAGGTTAGTTTAGCAGCCTGGGGGGGGGGCATCAGGCCTGGGAGAGGGGCCAATCTAACGGGCTGTAGGGACAGGCAAGAGAGGCTATGTGGTGGTTAACCTGGGTTGCCAACTTGATGGAATTCAGAGTCATCATAGAAACAGACCTCTGGGAATATGTGAGAGGGAGTTTCTAGAAAGGGTCAAAAAGGGGTGAGGGAGGGCGGGCGTTGGTGGTGCACGCCTTTAATCCCAGCACTCGGGAGGCAGATCTTTATGAGTTTGAGACCAGCCTGGTTTACAAAAGTTAGTTCCAGGACAGCCTTCAAAGCCACAGAGAAAGAAAAAGGGGGGGTGAGGGAGACCCACCCTGATAAGGATGGCGTCATCTCATTGGCTGCCATCTAGGACTGATAAAAAGGAGAATGTGAGGAATGGAGAGAGACTCAGCAGTTAAGAACACTGCTTGTTCTTCCAGGGGACCTGGAAGTTCCCCAGCACTCACATGGCAGGTCAAGGCTGCCTGTAACTCCAGTTCCAGGGGACCTGGTGTCCTCACACAGACACACATGCAGGCGAACACCACTGCATGTAAAATTAAATTAAATTTTAAAAAGGGAGGAGGAAGTGAGCTGAGCACCAGGCTCCGCCTCTTTGCTTCCTGACTGCGGATACAACCCGACCAGTGGCCGCCCCTTCTGCGTCACGCCTTCCCCACCAAGGACTGGGCTCCCAGAACGTGAGCCAAAACACACCCTTCCTTTCTTCCATTGCTTCTGTCGGAAATGGAACGTTTTGGCAGCAACAGAACAGAAACCAATACAGACTCGGGAGACTGAAGCAGGGAAGCAGCTGTGCAGGTTGGATTTAAGTCAGCCTGACACAAGCTGGGATTATCAGGAACGGGGGGGGGGGGGGCTCAACGGAGGAAGCACCTCCATCAGGCTGGCCTGTAGGCAAGCCTGGGGCACTTTCTTGACTGGTGACTGATGGGGAGGGCCCAGCCCACTGTGGGTGGAGCCATCTCTGGGCTACTGGTACTGGCTGTGTAACAAGGCAGGCTGAGCAAGCCGTGAAGAACAAGCCAGCTAGCGCCCTCCGTGGCCTCTGCATCCGCTCCCGCCTTGGCTTCCCTCCATGAAGGACGGTGCCATCAGCGAAGATGTGACACAAACAACTGAGGACTGAATGAGGCTGGGGAGGGGCCCAGACAAGTCGCAAGGTGGAGTGTGGAGAAGCCCAGGTGTCCTGAGACAGGAGCCCCGCCTCACCTCATAGTCCACGCCCTTGTGGTTGAGGGCGACGTTCAGGGTGAAGGTGGACGAGTCATGGTGTGGCCGGAGCGAGGGCTGCTCATCCGGCCGGTAGCGGACCACGAAATTCATCACCGCCCGTGTCTGTGGTGGCATGAGGTGGGAGCTTTAGGAAGGGCAAGGGAAGCCACGGCTCTCCTTTTCTCACTTTGGTTTTGGGGTGGAGGTGGTTTTTTTTGAGACACGGTCTCTCTATGTAACTCCATCTGGCCTGGAACTTGCTATATAGGTCAGGCTGGCCTCAAACTCAGAGACCCGCCTGCCTCTGCCTCTTCCACAGGACCACAGGCCACCACACCCGGGTCCGCTTGTCCTCCTTCACCCGAGGCTCCTCCCCAGCCCTGGAGTACACATGTGTAATGGCACGTCCAGCTCTTTACATGGGTGCTGATGGCATGAACTCAGGACGCCATGCTTACACGACAAACTCTTTACTGACCAAGCCATCTCCCAGTCCCATTTCTCCCCATCTTTCGAGACAAGGGTCATTTAGCCCAGGCTAGCCTCAAACTCACTGTGCAGCTACAGGAGACCCTCAACTTGTGATCCTCCTGCTGCTTCTGCCCGAGTGCTGGGACTATAGACCTGAGTTATTATCCTACCTCCAGCTCACAGGGCTGCTGACAAAGCCTGGGCAAGCATCTAACTGATGCACAGCTCCAGCCCTTCCTTCCTGTTTTAAGACAGGGTTTCACTGTGCAGCTCACGCTCTCCTCAAACTCTTGATCTTCACGCCTGTTTCTCAAGTGCTGACGTCACAGGTGTCAGCATGCCGCCCAGAGACTTTCTAATGACACAGCAGCCTGAGTAGCAGACCTAACTTCTTCCCAAGCTCATCTTGCTCCCAAGCCCCAAGTCTATGGCGCCTTCCGAGACGGGGTACAAGAAGAGGGAGACATCGGTGGTTGCGATCTCTCTCCTACCTTGGTGTGGTAGCCAGGGAACAGGTGCTCCGTCATGGGCCCCACGTACGTCCTCAGCAGCTGAAGCCACTGGTCTTCGTACCCCACCTGCTTCATGTGGATATCCACGGTGGGAACATTCTCGTACCCTCCAGCCAATCTGGAATCCTATGGACAAGACACTGAGCCACTCAGATCCCTGGGCTAGCCCATTCTTCCTCAGGGACAGCAGCAGCTGCTTCTCGTTGGCCCTGGGCTTATTGCTTGTTTTTCGAGACAGGGTTTCTCTGTATTGCTTTGGAGGCTGTCCTGGAACTCGCTCTGTAGACCAGGCTGGCCTCAAACTCAGAGGTCTGTCTGCCTCTGCCTCCCCAGGGCTACGACTAAAGGCGTGCGCCACCAACGCCCAGTCTGAGTCTTAATGTTTCTGTCCCTGCCACCTTGTCAGCCAGATCACAGCTGCTGGCCCTGCTGTCTGCTCTCCTGCAATCGCTCTGACCTTCCCATGTTATCTGACCTTCCCGTGTTATCTGGCCATGCTACCTAACAAACATAGCCCGTGAGGCACCCTCTGTAAAACCTAACTTTGACTGTCAAATGATGGGCCTAGGGTCACCCAGAAGACAAGCCTCTGGGCATGTCAGGAGGGATCGTCTGCATTAGGGTAACGGAGACGGGAAGAACTGACCACTGTGGGCAGCGCCATCTCATGCGCCATGGTCCTGGCCTGAATGACAGAGAAAACGAGCTGAGCACCAGCATGTTTCTACTTCCGACTACAGATGCCACATGACCAGCCGCCTCCCCCTCCTGCCGCCACACCTCCTCGTCATGATGGACTCTGTCTACAGACTGTGAGCCCTAATAAACCCTTCCTTCAAGTTGCTTTTGTTAGATATTTTGTCACAGCAGCAAGACAAATAACTAACACACCCAGAATGAGTCCCACCCCTGGGATTCCCCTCCACACCCCAATCCCACCGGCCCTCCGCTAGGCTCACGCCGCCCTCGCCTCACGCCGCCCTCACCTCATGCCGGCCTCCTGACCACTGGCCATAGTGCTCCATCTCCTCCACCAGCTCATCACACATCTGTTCCGTCAGCAGCGGGAACCAGTACACATCTGGGCACGGCTAGGGACAGGGCAGGGCACAAGGGACAAGGTGAGACCCACAGAGGAGGGGCAGCCTGAGCCCCCTAGGCAGGGGGGGAGCGGGGTGGCCCGTGAAGAGGCCTGTGCAGAAAAGGGCCGGAAAAGGGTGCCTGGAGCCCCAGCATCTAGGGCAATGATCCTGTTCTCTCTCTCTTTTTCTTTTTTCTTTTTGAGACAGGGTCTTTGTAGCCCAGGCTGGCCTCAAACTCACTATGTAGCTGAGTCTGGCCTTGAACTTCTTTCCTCCTGCCTGCACCTCCCAAGGGCTGAGACGGCGGGCTTGCAGCGCCACGCTGAGTTTCTTTTTTTTTTTTTTTTTGTTTTTCAAGACAGGGTTTCTCTGTATTGTTTTGGAGGCTGTCCTGGAACTCGCTCTGTAGACCAGGCTGGCCTCGAACTCACAGAGATCCGCCTGCCTCTGCCTCCCGAGTGCTGGGATTAAAGGCGTGCGCCACCAACTGAACGCGCCCGATCTCGTCTGATCTCGGAAGCCAAGCAGGGTCGGGCCTGGCTAGTACTTGGATGGGAGGCCACGCTGAGTCTCTGCAGAGCCTCGCGGCTTTGTGAATGCTAGGAAAGTGTCCCGCCCATTTCGTTTCAGACAAGGTGGGCTTGAACTTGTGAGTCTGAGGCTGGCCTTCGACCCTAACCCTCATATCTTCTTGTCTCTACTACTTGGATTCTGGGAGTACAGGCACGCACCACGCCACTATTCGTTTGCATGTGAGTGTGTGAGTGTGTGAGTGTGTGTGTGTGTGTGTGTGTGCGCGCGCGCGCTCAGTTTTTCTTGCTGTCTCCACTGAGGCAGATCTCTCAATCAAACCCAGAGCTTACTGGTGCAGCCAATCTGGCTACTCAGCTTGCGGAGGATCCTTCTAAGGCTGGGATTCAGGCGGGCCCCCACACATCTAGCATTTACTTGGGTTCTGCAGATCTGAACTAGGTCCCCATGCTTATGTGTTAAGTGCTTAACCACGGAGTCATCTCCGCTGCCCCATTTGGTTTTTTGAGACTTGGTCTTGCCACCTGACCATGCATGGTTGGTATGGTTCTCACTGAGTAGCTTGGAACTCTCCGTCCTCCTCCATCGGTTTTCAGGATTATAGGCCCGTAACACTTAGTGGGGCTGCCAGCCTCCCTCTTGCTCAGACAGCGAACCCTCAGTCCCTGGGAGCTCAGCTTGGACCCCACCAATCCCAGCAGTGGGCGCTTCACGCAGCCAGTCCTGGGGCAGCTTACCTGCTCCACGAGCCCCTCCCCCTCCAGGGCCCGGCTGTAGTTCTCATGAATGTACTGCTCTTTCCAGTCCTGTGGGAAGAGTTGCAGCATTTGAGCAGAGTCTCCTTCGTTTCCACCACTGGGCCACACCCCCACCGCGGTGGACAATGGCGCGGGGGACAAAGGGCCTCTTACCACAGGGTTGTCAAAGATCTGCCAGAGGTCTGGGTGTAGGTGGTCAGTGTCGTAGCGAGAAGTGGCCAACAGCCGGCCGAACTCGTGCTGGTTGCTGAGGTGCAGGAAGATGCCCTGGAGTGGGGTAGAGGGTGGGCATGCGTGAGGAGGACACGGCATCAAGTCCCCGGACGTGGCAACCATGCCAACCACCCCACTCACCTTGTCCCGCAGGCTCTTACAGAAAGCCATATCTGGGTCGGTGTCACTGCCGGAGAACACCTCCTTCTGGGGCAGCTCCGTCCTCAGGGTCTCCCCTCGGATCACGTACGCCTGGGATATGTAGGGCACATTCCACACTCCCCTGCGGTCATCAGATGGACAACCCTCGGATTAGGCTTTGCTCACCGCCTTCCCTCGGGGTACCCCAGCCTGAAGCCATCACATCACCGATGCACCATAACCACCCAACTCCTCACCAGTCCCTCCCTACCCATAGCTGTGGCCTAGTGACCATGTAGGATGCTACGGGTGGGGACCTGGGGAAGACTATGGTGCCTGCATAGTACACGTGGGTGGGACTCACACTCGCTTCCGCTGGACCAGTTCCACGTAGTCTTCCGAGCGGGCATAGTACTCATCGGGGCTCAGGGCACCCCAGAAGTTGGACCAGAGCTTGCCGTGGCGGGAAAGCATGGGGGCTATTACCTTCCTGTGGAGAAAACAGAGGTGGAAGATGAAGACGGAACTGAACAGGAGGGGACAGGACACAGGGAAGGGGCGGAGCTCCTAGGCCGTCCTGGGGCTCCATGGAGGCATGAGGTGCAGTTAGTTACCTGTTTTGTTCAATCAAGATGCGCAAGGTCTCCGGGTTGGTAAGGACAGCATCAGCATCCAGGCTGAAGTAGAACTCACACGCGGGGTCCTGCCGACAGCTGTCCCTGGAGGAGACCCACAAATGGAGAGAAGAGCCCAAACGGTGAACGGAGGCAGGGAGGGGGGGGCAGGACAAGTGGAAAGTGGGGCTCTCCCGGCTCTGAGGACAAGGACGAGAGTCAGTGTCTCCTTCCCAGGGCTCCGCGGGCGATGAGGGAGAGGAGTGGGTGTAAAGGCTCAGGGAGACTCACATGGCCATGTCCCTGGCCTGCCCTGGGCTCAGCGCTTCCTCTGGCCCTACGAGCTTTGCGGCTGAGAAGTGGTCCTGGAGCTGCGGCCAGGCATCTGCAATGTGAGGCTCATGGTACACCTCCTGGGGATGGGACAGGCGGAGAGGTGGTGAGAGGTGGTACCCGAGGGATACAGTCTGCGGAGGGCAGATGGGAAGAGGTGCAGGATGCGGGGAGGGGAGGGGGTGTCCCATATCTCACATTGTTATGAAGGAAAAGAGAGATCCTGTCCAGGGGGTAGTCCAGGAGCAGTAGGCGCTGCAGGAATCGAGGCAGGAAGGGGGTAGGCTGTTCCACAAACACGGCCAGAAGCACCCGGGGGGGAGGCTGTGGACACAGGACAAGGCTCACTGAAGCTCGGGCCTCTCTCTGCCCCACAGCCCTCCCCAGCCACACCCACCCTAGGGTTAGGATGCCCAGGAGCTCAGCAACCGCGGCTGCCCAGCGTCAAGGCTCTTCTCACCTGCCCCCCCGGGAGTGTCCTCTGGTTCTGGTTGCAGAAGCCACAGCCTCCCCGGGGAGTCCAGCCATTGGGGACATAGTTCCCCAGGTAGTTGAGCTGGAGCTGTTGGGACAGGGGGTGGGTAGCTGAAGCAGAGGTGTCTGGGGACAGATGGGAGGCAAGCTGGGCTCAGCACGAGGAGACTTGAGCAGGGTGAAGGTGTCCTGTCACCAGCACCTCTTCTCCTGGGCTGGGGAGGACCAGAGGTCCTCAGGGATGCGGTACTCAGGCCTCAGACAAGCAAGGGCAGAGGGCATAGGGCACCTTGGTGGGACCGTTTCCGTGGACCACAACAGGAAGCGTGTCATAGGCCACATTTCGGATGCGCACACGATTCTGGTCGAACTTTAAGACCACTTCATCTGGGGGAAGAAAGGGGAGGCTTTCCAGAGTCCCTTTACACAAAACAGCAGGTTCTTTAAAGCTACTCTCTTGGACAGTGTGTCGGCCCAAAGGTCCCCACACTGCAGCTCGGTTAGGGTACTGCTCTTTGCTTACGTTGCTGCTGTGAGCTGAAATTCTGTCATAGAAACATTTCTTTCTCAGTTATCGCGTAGTGCGTTTGATGGGGCTGGTGAGATGACTCAGTGGATGAAGGCTCTTGCTACCACGCATGACACCCAGAAGAGAACGGTGTCTCAAGCGCTGCCCTGACTTCCGCGTGTACCATAAGCTCCCCTCCCCTCCAAACAAATACATGAGAAAACAGTATTATTTGGTACTTTTCCTTGGTCCTTTCTTCCCTTTGATACGGTCTCGCTATGTAGCCCAGGATGGCCAGCAACTCGAGGTCCTCCTGCCTCTGAGACCCAAGATCAGGATATAACACCATCCTTGGCTTTTGTAACCCTGACCAGGCTGTTGCTGCCTTAGAGAGTTCAACCACTCTACGTGAGTGATCCGGGGTGACTCACTAGTCATCTGCCAGAGGGTCTTCCATGGCGGGAAGTCAGGGAACAGTCCCTTTGCAGAAGCTCTGTGTCAGTGAAATCACAGGGGTAGAGCCCCTGACTGGAGACCTTAGTGAGTGCCTTATAGATGGACATGTGAGCTCTAACCACCATTTTGTCTTTTTGTTTCTGGGTGGTGCTGAGGTTTCTGTATGCTAGGCACACCTTCTATCACTTAATTCTTTACCCCCAGCCCTTCACTGGGGGATTCTAGGCAGGTGCTCTACCACTGAGCCACACCCCAGCCCCTCACTGGGGGATTCTAGGCAGGTGCTCTACCACTGAGCCACACCCCAGCCCCTCACTGGGGGATTCTAGGCAGGTGCTCTACCACTGAGCCACACCCCAGCCCCTCACTGGGGGATTCTAGGCAGGTGTTCTACCCCTGAGCCACACCCCAGCCCCTCACTGGGGGATTCTAGGCAGGGGCTCTACCACCGAGCCACACCCCAGCCCCTCACTGGGGGATTCTAGGCAGGGGCTCTGCCACTGAGCCGCACCCCAGCCCCTCACTGGCAAATCCTCGGCACTCTGCTGCTGGTCTGCTCTCCCAGCCTCATTACTGCTGACACAATATAGCATGCGTAGGTGCTGGGTAAGTTAGCACACTGGTCATCTGCAGGCCAGCCCAGTTCTGGCAGGAACCCATCCTTCATCACCCAATCCTAACCCACTTCTTCCTCACCTAAGGCTCCATTGAGGTTCTGGAAGATCCGGGATTTATGGTCCAGATTAAGTCTGAGTTTCTCCTAGATGACATGAGATGGAGCAGTGAACTGAGAGGGGACAGGTGACACCGTATCTTCCTCCAGCTCCCCCCAAGCCTTCTCTCTCACTCAGTCAGGGGATGCCCTATCCCGAGGCTCCCTACCCGCAGTCCTGGGTCCAGGTACAGTCGAGTGTAGAACAACTGATCGTCATCATCGTCTTTGTATTTCCACTGGCGGACAATCTGATGGATGGTGGGAGCGAAGCCAATGAATCCTGGGGGACAGAAGAGAGGTCGATCCCCAGGAATCCCAGGGTCCTGGAGCATGCAATGCCCCGCCACTGGGGGGAGCTCTTTCTCGGGTGCTTGGCCACTCACCGCCAGAATTGAGGAAGCGCTTCCCCGTGCCCACCTCAGGGTACTGCTCTGCCAGCCCCCACTCGGGCCAGCAGAAGCCCTCGGCGGAGAACAGCAGATGACTACCGCTCTGAACAAACTTCCGCAGCAGTTCTGCGGGGCTGCTGGCCAGAATCACGTCGTAGCTGGGCAAGAAAAAGGGTCTCATTTTCCTGTCTGCACATTCCCCGTCCCTCCCTTTCCACCCCGACCCCCTTTACCTGTCCACAAACATGATGACCATGTCTTCCCGATTTGCGTATTTCTCCATTTCCTTCTTCAGCCACCGGACCTTCTGGCCTCCACCCACTGTGCGAGCGACATCACCCCCTCGCCACTCGTGCCCCAGGCCCAGGGTCTGCAGGAAAGACCCCACGCCCACGCCATGGGAGAGGTTCAGCAGGCCCAGGCGAGGAGACAGGAGCAGCCCCCTGTCCACTCCTGGTGGAACTTCTCCCAGGGGCCCCACTCACCCGAACAGTGTAGTTGAAGAACTCCGCAGACTGCAGAAAGCGCCGGTATCCCTCTGTCTCTGCCGTAGCCACAGTGATCACCAGCAATTTGTCTGCCACGGCCATGAAACTGGCACTTAGCTCCCGCTGCCCGGTGTCGCACGTGTTTATCCCCTCGTATCCCCTCCGCCTCCCTGTCATTTCACTAAAGTTCTTTCCGGTCCCCCCTTCAACATCTTTCTGCCCCGGGGACATCTGGTGTCCAGAAGAGTCGAGAGGAGTGTGACACGCAGGGGTGGGGGGCTGGGGTGTTCCTGTCGCTCTGGGGACACTGGACCCCCCAGCTCAGCGGGGGAGAGGGTGACGCGCTGGGTCCCGGGAGAGACTGGACACTCCCTCCCGGACTGGCGGACGTGTCGACTCTGCCCAGCGGCCTCCCGGGTTCTCACCTGGGTTGACAGGGTTGGAGCCCCGGGGTCGATCGGAGGCAGAAGTCACGGCGGGCGGCGGCAGCAGCAGCAGCGGCAGCAGCAGCAGCAGACGCCGGGGCTCCAGGCCGGGCGCGGCCATGGCTAGCGGCACACGCAGGCGACACCTGGGCCCGCAGCCGGGCCGAGCCTAGCGCCTGGATTCCGGCTCCCGGAGCAGATCCCGGGCAAAGGGAAGCGGAGCCCGCCGTGCGGAGCCGCGAGGAGGGGCCGTGCTAGCGGCTCCGCCCTGGAAAAAAGGCGTAACCCGAGGCCGCGGGACACCCGAGATGCAGACGGCGAGACAAGGCAAGGACTGTCCGCGGGCGCGGGCTGCGGGAGGGGAGGAGCCCGGGGTCGCTGGCACAGCCGGAGCCGAGGCCCCAGGCGCGGAAGTGGCCCCCGAGGGGGGTCCCGGGGACGCGCGCTGGCCCGGAGGAGGACCGGGCGGCCAGACCCGGGCTGCGGCGGGGACCACGGGCCCGGAGGGGCCGGGAAGCACGGGGCGGGACCGCGCGGACATCGCCGCGGCTGCGGGGCCAACAGAGCCCGGCCGACCCATCCCCCCCGCCGCCCGGGGACGCGCTCCGAGCCCGCGAGGGCACCGACCCGGACGCGCCCCTCAAGGCCGCCCGCACCACGCCTCAAAAGTCGCCCTTTGCGGGGCACGTGGCGGGTGAACGCTTAGGGGTTTTGTTTTTTGTTTTGTTTTTTGGGGCTTTTTTTTTTTTGTTAAAACAACCACAACGGGACCGGAAGTAGGTTCGCCCGTATCAAAGATGGCGGAAAGCTTCCTGGTCTCCAAGGGAACGTCGCGTAGTGACGCCGAGTAGGAGGGGCATGGCTGCGCACGCGTGCCAGTGCACGCCACCGGAAGGGATGCGCTCGGACCACGGGTAGGGGTGGGGGTGGTTAATACGCGTGCGCAGTAGGCTCTCCCGAAAAAAAAAAACTGTTGCGCAAATGGTGGAGAAGAAACCCTCGGGTATGTGAGCCCTCAGCGGTTCGGCCCTTTCTACACCTCAAGTTCGAACCCCCCTTAACAATTCCCCGCCCAGTTATTCATGTCAACTCTCTTCGCGGTTCCTTTCTCGGCGTTGGGGCAGCCAGCCCCCAGCAACCATTCATGGTTTTTTGTGAATGTTCGCTGCAAGCTGAACGCTGGGGATGGAGAGCAGAGCCTTGCCATTCCAAAGCTTAGGTGCAACGAGCAGTGGTACCCACCCCAGCTTCTGGATGAAACTCCACTCCCCTGTTACTTTTTCATTTAATGAGACAGGCTTCACTTTGTAGCTGGTAGGCTGGTCCTGCCTCAGCCTCTCCGGGTCTTGCAGCCAAGTCTGTGGTTTGAGGGGGTTCTGCCTTGAGACTAGCCTGTTGTGGGAAACCCAGCCCGTGCTTTGATTAGAAGCACCAGGAGTGGGTTGGCGAGCAAGACTGCGCAGGAGGGAAAGGCGCCAGTCCCGCCCACCTCAGTCAGTCCCCAGGCCCCGCGTGATGGGGAGAAGAGACTTCCACAGATTGTCCTGACCTCCACTCGTGTGCTGCGGTACCCACATGGGAAAGCATAGGATAAATGAACTTCTTGAAGAAACGTATGCTGGAAAAAGAAGCTAGGGGTTTGGCTCAGCCGGGAGAGTGCTTGTCTGGCGCGCACAAAGCTCTTGTTTCTTCCCCAGCACCACAGAAACCACAGGTGTGGGGGTACACAGGAGGTCATTCAAAGCCATGCCCAGCCACATAGTAAGTTCCAGACCAGCCTGGGCCTCCCGAGAGGTTGTGGGGGGTGGGAAAGGGTCAAGGTTATCAATAAAAGGACAGGCAGAGGTGTCCTAGAGAGCAAGGGAGGAGCCAAGATGTGGGACCGGGAAGCACGCCCACCTAGAGAGGAGGACAGGAGGACGGCTGGGAGTCATGGCAGTGAACGGAGACTCCTTTAGTGCAAGGAAAGTATTCAGTGCAGCCACAGGGCATAGAAATGCATCTCAGGCTGAGGGGACAGTCTAGAAACTTGGATTCCGCCTTACAAAGTCACAGGTGTGTTGACTGTGGAAGCCAGAAGTCAACATGGTGTCAATCCTCCAAATGCACTTGTTTTTATTTAAAAATAAAAGTCACTTTATTTTTAAAAATTCATAAGTGAGTGTGTGTGTTGCTGTGTGCAGTTGAGCTTGTGTGTGTTGCTGTGTGCAGATGAGCGTGTGTGTGTGTGTGTGTGTTGCTGTGTGCAGATGAGCTTGTGTGTGTGTGTTGCTGTGTGCAGATGAGAGTGTGTGTGAGTGTGTGTGTGTTGCTGTGTGCAGTTGAGTGTGTGTGTGTTACTATGTGCAGTTGAGTGTGTGTGTGTTACTGTGTGCAGCTGCGTGTGTGTGAGTGTGTGTGTTGCTGTGTGCAGATGAGCGTGTGTGTGTGTGTTGCTGTGTGCAGATGAGCGTGTGTGTGTTACTGTGTGCAGTTGAGTGAGTGTGTGTGTTGCTGTGTGCAGTTGAGTGAGTGTGTGTGTTGCTGTGTGCAGATGAGCGTGTGTGTGTTGCTGTGTGCAGATGAGCGTGTGTGTTGCTGTGTGCAGTTGAGTGAGTGTGTGTGTTGCTGTGTGCAGATGAGCGTGTGTGTGTTGCTGTGTGCAGATGAGTGTGTGTGTTGCTGTGTGCAGATGAGCGTGTGTGTGTTGCTGTGTGCAGATGAGTGTGTGTGTGTTGCTGTGTGCAGATGAGTGTGTGTGTGTTGCTGTGTGCAGATGAGCGTGTGTGTGTTACTGTGTGCAGTTGAGTGTGTGTGTTGCTGTGTGCAGATGAGTGTGTGTGTTGCTGTGTGCAGATGAACGTGTGTGTGTGTGTTGCTGTGTGCAGATGAGCGTGTGTGTGAGTGTGTGTGTGTTGCTGTGTGCAGATGAGCGTGTGTGTGTTACTGTGTGCAGTTGAGTGTGTGTGTGTTGCTGTGTGCAGTTGAGTGTGTGTGTGTTGCTGTGTGCAGTTGAGTGTGTGTGTGTTGCTGTGTGCAGATGAGTGTGTGTGTGTGTGTTGCTGTGTGCAGATGAGCGTGTTTTGCTGTGTACAGATGAGCGTGTGTGTGTTGCTGTGTGCAGTTGAGTGTGTGTGAGTGTGTGTGTTGCTGTGTGCAGATGAAAGTGTGTGTGAGTGTGTGTGTTGCTGTGTGCAGTTGAGCGTGTGTGTGTGTGTGTGTGTGTTGCTGTGTGCAGTTGAGTGTGTGTGAGTGTGTGTGTTGCTGTATGCAGATGAGCGTGTGTGTGTTGCTGTGTGCAGTTGAGTGTGTGTGTGTGTGTTGCTGTGTGCAGTTGAGCGTGGATGCCCACAGAGGACTGCAGAGGGAGTTGGATGCCCTGGAGCTGGAGTTACAGGCAGTTGTGAGCCACCCTAGCAGCTGCCCGCCCTGTGTGCTGGAAACTGAACTCAGCACTCTGCAAGAGCAGGGGGTGCTCTTAACCACTGAGCCATCTCTCCAGCCGCAATTCATTGTGTCTAGCTATTGCGGGACTGGAGGACTAAGAGTCAGCCTGAAGGGCTGAAACCGGCTTTCCAGGCTGGAAAGAATCAGGGTTCAGAGCCCCAGCTCTGAACTTCCCACAACACAGTGACAGGAGACTGCCATCCCAGCTTCCCTCCTTTCCTGACCCGTCTCTGTCCCATCTAGTTCGCTCCCAGGACCCTGGACAGCGGCGGGTGCTGGACCGGGCAGCCCGGCAGCGACGGATCAATCGACAGCTCGAGGCTTTAGAAAATGACAATTTCCAGGATGACCCCCACGCAGGCCTCCCCCAGCTGGGCAAGCGGCTGCCTCAGTTTGATGATGATGCAGACACAGGTGAGGTGGGGGTTGTGGGAGAGAGAACGGAACGGTGTCGGGAAGCTTCTTACAGCAGATGCCGCAGATGCCAGGGAGCAGAGATGGGACTTGAATCTTTATTGTGTTTTTAATGTGTGTGTGTGTGTGTGTGTGTGTGTGTGTGTGTGTCTGTCCATGCATGTGTGTGTCTGCAGTTTTGCACATGTTTGCATGTGGAGGTCAGAAGAAACCCTTGAAGGAGTTGGTTCTCTCCTTCTACTGTATAGCTTCCAGGGTTTGAACTCGGGTCATTCAGGTTGCTGGGTTTGGCAGCAGGTGCCCTTACGCACTGGGCAGTCTTACCAGCCCCTGGCTCTTTAAAACTTCCTTTACTCAGAGACCCGACGATCTGAGAAGACAGTGTATTACTATTCTTAGGAACCATCTTCAGTCAGCAGGCTATCGACAGAGACAAAAGGCTGTCAGCCATTCTGGATTGATTTACCATCAGGCTGTGTCAGGTGTCAGGCACATTTCTGAGACCTATGATGGCTGTGCCTCTCATTGCCATTCCTTGAACTTGTCCCTCATCCTGCGGGTGTCTGGGCTCAGGCACTTTGAACCATTGAGTCAAGTTAAGTGTCCACTGGAGTCACCTTTATACTCCAAGGACACCTGGACTGGAAGGGAGGGGTTAACTCAACAAAACAACCATGAGCCGCTGTATGCACTAAGCTAATAATAAGTGCATGTGCCTGTTCTTTGTATTGTAGGGAGGCTTCTATCTGTCTGTCTGTTGTTTGAGAGAGGGTCTCTCAGATAGGCATTGAACTCACAGAGATCCACCTGCCTCTGCCTCCCAGGTGCTGGGATTAAAGGTGCGTGCCACCGTGCCCAGTGAGACTTTTAAAAATTTAAGCAATTTCTTTTGTTTTATTTGTACATGCGTGTTGGTTTTCGTGGAAGAATTGGGGACATTCTAGGATGAACTTTAGCCTTTGCAATGGCAGTGGGAGTCAGCCTCTGGCAAACCATTGCCTGTAGCTTAGCCAAGGGGTTCTTTATTGTTATACAATTTACGCTTTTTAGCAAGTCAATTTCTGCAAACCAAAACCTCCTCAAAGAGAAATGACAAAGCAGTTCCTAGCCACAGGACGTCTCAGTTTGATGAGTCCTGTAGCCAAGTTTTGCATAGGCTTTGAACCTTTAGGAAACACTCAAATAGGATTTACATATTTCTAAGACTGGACTAGACTCCTTTAATATAGGTGACAATGGTGTGGCTGGGACAATATATGAGGCCACTGGCAGTGGGTCTAAGATCTAACACTAATGTACAAACTGACTCAATGGAGCCCTTTCTATATGGAGAGAGACCTTGCCCAGCCTAGACACAAGGGTGTTGGGGTGGAGAGGTGCCTTGGTCCTGCCTCAACTAGATGATGGGACAGACTTAGTAGACTTCCTAGGGGAGGCCTCACCCTCTCTGAGGAGCAGATGGGAGGAGGGGGGAGTGGATGGTGTGGGAGGAAAGGAGTAAGGGGGGACTGGGATTGGAACGTAAAAAATAAACTAATAAAAAAGATTTACATATTTCAAACAGAAGGTACAGGACACAATAGGCAGATGAAAGCCAGGGGCTGACATTCCAGAATCAAACCAGCTGCAGAACTCTGCAGGAGCTCTCGACACGTGTGTGTGCGTGCGTGTGTGTGTGTGTGTGTGTGTGTGTGTGTGTGCGTGTGCGTGTGTTAGAGGACCACTTTTGGGAGTTAGTTCTCTCTTTTGTAATGTTTGTCCCTAGGGATGGACTCAGGCAGCAAGTGCCTTTACCCACTGAGCCATCTTGCTGACTCAAGTGTCTTTTTTTTTTTTTTTTTTTTTGGTTTTTCGAGACAGGGTTTCTCTGTGGCTTTGGAGGCTGTCCTGGAACTCATTTGGTAGTCCAGGCTGGTCTCGAACTCATAGAGATCCACCTGCCTCTGCCTCCCGAGTGCTGGGATTAAAGGCGTGAGCCACCAACGCCCGGCCTCAAGTGTCTTTGTAAAACAGAATATAAAAGCATCCCTGCTAGCCAGGCAGTGGTGGTACATGACTCTAATCCCAACACTCAAGAGGCAGAGGCAGGTGGATCTCTGTGAGTTAGAGGCCAGCCTGGTCTACAGAGCAAGTTCCTGGACAGGCTCCAAAGCTACACAGGGAAACCCTGTCTCAAAAACAAACAAAACACTATTCCTGTCATTGGGGTAGGAAAGGGAAGGAGTCAGGACTATGGAGGACCATGCGGGAAGGGTCCCAGCAGAGAGGTGACTTGGGAACTACTCGGCTTTGAGGATGACTAGCTCCTGTGCTGGTCTTCCCCTCTCTGTGCCTGGGTTTCTTCATGGGTGTGGATGGAGCAACAAGGTATGATGATGTGTGGCTATAGACCTAGCCCACAGAAAGCTGAGGCAGGGGAATTGCCAGGAATCTAAGGTCAGCCTGGTGTACATAGTGAGTCTGAAGTCAGTTTGGGGTGTATAATGAGATCTTGTGTCGAAGCAAGAAAAGCAGCACTTAGAGGTGGAGGCAGGAGGACCAGTCCAGGGTCATCCTTGTCTACATAGTGGGTTCATGGCCAGCCTGGGCTACATGAGTTCCTGTCCCCCAGATAAAAAGATGGAGCACACTGAACTTTAAGGAGCTGACAGCCAACCAAGATTGGAGATGTCAGGGTATAGGGCAGGTGCAGGCAGGGAGGGACAGACCCCAAGTGTCACAGCAGCTGTCTAGCTGCTCATCGTCCTTGAATCCCCCAGGAAAGAAAAAGAAGAAAACTCGAGGTGACCATTTCAAACTGCGCTTCCGGAAAAACTTCCAGGCTTTGCTGGAGGAGCAGGTAAGAGAGTTCTCAGCCTGGGGCAGGAGTCCCCAGAGCAAAGGGGTGAGCCCACGCTCTTCATGTCCCTGGTGGACGTGAGCCGCGTGGCAGAGTGGAGAACTCAGCCTGCCCGTCCCTTCATGTCCCTGCAGAACCTGAGTGCATCCGAGGGCCCCAACTACTTGACAGCCTGTGCTGGTCCCCCATCCCGACCCCAGCGCCCCTTCTGTGCCGTGTGTGGCTTCCCGTCCCCATACACCTGCGTAAGCTGTGGCGCCCGGTACTGCACAGTGCGCTGCCTGGGCACCCACCAGGAGACCAGGTGAGCCTGAGCCCAACCCCACGCCCGTAGTCCCCTTCTGCACAGCATTCCAACCTCCCTCCGCCTCCAATGGGCTTCTTTTCTCTGTCTGCAGGTGTCTGAAGTGGACTGTGTAAGCCTGGCATCAGGGAGAAGAAGTCCCTCCAACCGTTACCGCAGATCATCCTCAAAGGACAGAGAGGAGCAGTCCATTCACCCAGGGACTGTTGTGGGTTGTATGCTGGGTAATAAATGGCCTGGTGAATGGACCCTGCCTGCTTGTTCTGGTGTGTTTGGAGGTGAAGGTCAGGGTTGACTGTCAATCCTGCATATACCTCACATTGTCTGCCCTCTGTGTCGTGGAAGGTTTATGTCCCATCTCCAGCTACTGCTGCTTTGGTTTGGTTCGTTTTTTGTTTGTTTGTTTGTTGTTTTGTTTTGTTATGTTTTTTGTTGTTGTTGCTGTTGTTTTTCGAGACAAGGTTTGTTTCACTGAAGCCTGAGTGTGCTCATCGAGGCTGGGCTGGGCCTGGTATGCACACGTTTCCATGGGAAAGCTGCAATATCTTCCAGAAAGAGGCTCATGTATAGCCATGGCTGGCTGATGGGGATGGTGTGTTATGTGCAGCTTGGTGTGGCCCTACTGGGGACCAAGTTGAGCCAGTACCTATTCAAGAAAAGAAAACGAGCCACTGGGCTGGAGAGATGGCTCAGAGGATAAGAGAACTACTACTTGTTCTTCCAGAGGTCCTGAGTTCAATTCCCAGCAACTACATGGTGGCTCACAACCATCTGTCCATCTGTAATGAGATCTGGTGCCCTCTTCTGACCTGAGGGCATACAGACATATGCTATATACATAATAAATAAATAAATGTTAAAAAAAAGAAAAGAAAACAGCATTTGGGAGGCAGAGGCAGGCCAGCTTGGTCTACAAAGCTACACAGAGAAACCCTGTCTTGAAAAACCAATAAAAAAAAAAAGAAAGAAAATGAGCCACTATATGGTCACATAACTGTAAGAGACCAATGGCAACTTTAAAAAAAAACAAAAAAAAAACACCCTCCTTTTTTCTGAGACAGGGTCTCTTGGTGTAGCTCTGGCTGTCCTGTAACATGCTCTGTAGAGCAGGCTGGCCTCAAACTCAGAGATCCGCTTGCCTCTGCCTCCCCAGTGCTACGATTAAAGGTGTGCGCCACCACTGCACGGCTAAAGAAAACATTTAAGTACTTGTGTGTGTGTGTGTGTACACACATGTGTGCCACAGCATACATGCGGATATCAAAAGACAACTTGTGGGAATCAGTCCTGGGGATCAAACTCGGGTCCTCAGACTCAGCCATAAAGGACTTTACCCACTAAGCCAACCCAAAATTTTAGTGAGAACTTATCTCAAAAAACAAGCCAAACTATTCACAAAACTTTGCTGAATCTCATTAGTATTGTTCAACAAATACTTAGGATGCCCCTGCTGTGCACTTAGCAGGGTGGTTTCAAGGATTTCGTGATTACAGCTTGCAATCCACTTAGACAGGCAGTGAGTCTGAGATCCGCAAATACCAAGTCAGTCTCAGCAGCCAGCACCATCAGCATCAGGAGCCTCTAAGACTCCCTCGTGCTTCCCAGGACCATCCCGGTCATATGCTGGTAAGAATTTCACACTCACTCCACTTCTGACATCCCTAGAAGCATTGGGGACAGAGTCAGCCCTGACTGGTCCCATTCAGCGAAGTATCAGACAGATCTGGTTCCCTCTCAATCATTTTGCAACATCCCTCAGCCCTCCTCGGATCTCTGAGTTCAAGGCCAGCCTGATCTACAGAGTGAGTTCCAGGACAGCCTCCAAAGCCACAGAGAAACGGTGTCTCGAAAAACAGCAACAACAAAAAACCCCACCAACATCCATGCTCTTGGGTATCATTTTCTTGTGAGGTCCACTTTCTTGACCCTCAAACTTCCATCTGTATTAAAAATATCTTTATAAGGGACTGAAGAGATGGCTCAGCACATAGGAGCCCTTGCAGCTCTGACAGGATCAGGGTTCCTTTCCCAACACTACCTGTAATTCCAGTTCCAGGGGACCTGGTGCCCTCTTTTGGTATGTTTAGGCACCTGCAGGCACATGGTGTACAGAAACACAGGAAAAGGCACAGGCACATACACGTAAATAGTGCATTTTTTAAAATACCTTTATTAAACCCCAATACACAAACACCTGTTCTGGATCAACTGCTTCTTTGTACAGCAGTAAGAGAACAGGTTAAGAGTTAAAAGAGAGACTTTCAGCTGGCCAGCAGCGTCCCAGCTAGTACTATAGTACTAATTCCCTGAGGTGGGCGCTTGCAACACCTTTTAAGAATGTGTGCATGCAGCCAGGCGTTGATGGCACACGTCTTTAATCCCAGCACTCGGGAGGCAGAGGCAGGGGGAAATCTCTGTGAATTCTAGGCCAGCCTGGTCTACAGAGTGAGTTCCAGGACAGCCTCCAAAGCTACACAGAAAATCCCATCTCAAAAAACAAAACAACAACAACAAAAAAAAAACAAACGAAAGAAAAGAGAGAGAAAAGTGCATGCATGTGTTGTTCGTGCACAGGTCTGTGTGCCTGCAAAGGTCAGAGCAGGGCTTCCGGTGGCCTGCATTATCATTCTCCACCTTACTCCTGTGAGAGAGGGACTCACCTGGAGCTAGGTTGGAAGCTGGTAAGCCTCAGAGAGCCTCTGCAACAGCACTGGGGTTACAGGAGTGTGATCAGGCCCCTGCTTTTTACATGGGTTCTGGGGATTTGAACTCAGGTCTTCATACTTGTGTAGCAAACACTCTTACTCACTGAGCCCTCTCCCCAGCTCCTTGGCACACTATTTCACTGGATGAGACAGCTCAAAAGTAGGCAGTCTTGACAGTCTATGGTATGAAAATGAACCCCTTACTTGGCCGCAACTTCATGGCCCCTGGATCCCCCTGAACAATCACAATATACATTTATTTCTGTATGTATTTATACGCCGTCACGAGCTGCAGACACCTCTATCCCCTTGGGTCCAGCCGTAGGAGGCCATGCGAGTTGCCCCCTCAGCTTCTGTTCTGGGAGAGGCTGGAGTGCCAGATAAGGTGGTACCCAGAACAGGGCGGAGCCTGGAGATGGTCTGTCCTGAGGTTACTAACTGGAGACTGGTCCGTGGGTCCTGGGGACACTTTTCCACTGGGGATAGTGGGACAAGAAACGGTGTCCACCAGGTCAGAGCTCCTACACATAGGCATTTTTGCCGTATTTACCAAAGCTGATGTTGCTTTCATCCGAGGTGGCTCTGGGTATCACGACGGTAGAGGGCTTATAGGAAAGCCCGGCCCTGTGGAATTAAGAGGAAGGCGGGGTCACAGGTGGACAGAGCATGTCGTAGTCCCCGATCCCATCCTCTCCCACTCGGCCCCTCACCTGGTGGCTGGGTCCTCCTTGGCAGCGCAGCAGCAGGTGGAAAAGAGACAGATGCCACCCAGAATGGAGAGCAGAGAGGCGCTCCAGCCCAAGTAGAGGGCGGGGCCCAGCTCGTATCTGAGGAGTGAAAGAGGTAAGTGCCAGCCCACAGGGGCTGGGCCAAGACCACTGTAACCCTACCCACTGCCACCAGGGGCAGGGGTCCTTACTTACTTGGTTCCAACATACAATGGGTTGAAGAAGTCAGTAGTGATGTTGACAGCATACCAGGAGATAGCCACCATCCCACAGGCCCCTGGAGAAAAGGATAGAGGATTTTCCTAAGGGCCCTTCTTGCAGTCACAACCTCTCAAAGCAAGGGATTTGAGGGTCGGGGCATCATGTCCAAAAGTAACAGTTCCTTTCTTCTGTTCCAGCCTGTGACCCAGACATGTTCAAACTGCAGTCTTCAGGCTGCTTGAGTCCTAGGGTATCTTACTCATCCCCCCTCCCCGCCCCAGGACAGGGTTTCTCTGCGTAATAGTCCTGGCTGTCCTAGAACTCCCTTTGTAGACCAGGCTGGCCTTGAACTCACTGAGCTCTGCCTGCCTCTGCCTCCCAAGCGCTGGATATCTTACATTTTTAAAGATGATCTTATGAAGTCTAGGCTGGCCTTGAACTCACCACGTAGCCCAGCATGACTGTAATCCTCTTGAGATTATAGTCATGAACCACCAGACAATTTACTCTACTGTGGATGGGACCCAGGACATTAGCACATTAGCCCTCAAATATACTGAGGGACCAGGATGCGGACAAGATTCCTTGGGACACCAGGAGAGTGGCCATGCCTAGGTGATAAAGATGGTGGACTCTAGGCTGGCTGGCTTTCCCTCCCTTCTGGGCCTGAGACAAAATCCTGGTGGCTTAAAACAGGGACCTTGTGGAGTTTATTTTTCTCTGCCAGCAGTCATCCCCGGATGAACTGGCTCAAGGGGTCGATGCTGGATCAGAACAGTGAGGGCCAATCAGCCACCCTGTCTGCCTTCCAGCCGACCAGCCCACACTGAGAAAAGCTCCTCAGACGTAAAAGGCCTGCCTTCCTCCAGCGATACTGGCCTTTCTCTGGCTTCTCAGTCCCCCTCTGCTTTGAGCAGGGTCTTTCTCTGTGTCTGCTGCGTGCATGTGTTTCCTCGTCCCCAGTAAACGCCTTTCTTCAACGGCTGATTTCAAGATTTCCCGGCTGCTACCTGTCCAGCTTGGCATGTTCCCTGCCTTTTCATTCTTTAGCTGGCAGAGAAAATGAACCTAGATGGTAACTACACCCATCTTGAATGCCCAGCTGTCCCAAAAGTCCTTCCTGCCCACCCGTTGCTTGTCACACTGGCTAAGGGACCTTTCAAACCTTCAGATCCAGAAAACAGGAAATACTCACCCTGTCTGGATTTTTTTAGTTACTATCATTTATTTGATCATTTGTGTGGTGTGTGTGTGTGTGTGTGAGTGCAGGTACTCATGTGGAGGGCCAAGGACAGCTTTCAGAGGTTGATTCTTTCTATCTACCCCAGGATCCCACCACGGGATCCTGGGATCAACCTTGGGTCACCACAAAGTACCTTGACTCACCCAGCTCTGCATGGTTTATTGTGAAGGAATATGTGCAGAAATATAGTAAGCTGGACAGTAATAGACCATCCGTAGCTCTGTTAACTGCGTGTGAGTGTGTGCGAGTGTGTGTACGTGTACACACATGCCCTGACTCTGTTCCCAGCCAGTTGTAAGTTTTGGACGGAAACAGCCTCTCTGGTCTGGCTCGAGTTTGACTCAGTTGGGATCTGGGCAACCCTACTCTTTGACACTAAGTTGTGGTCTAGAGATTTTCAGATACAGACAGGGTAGGGAGAGGGTGAGCAAGAGAGGGCAGGGGTCAACCGAAAGGAGGTGAGGGAAGCCCAGAGAGCAGGAGATGAAGACGGAGAAGCCGGGAGCTGTGGCGAAGGCCTCCCCAATCCACACCCCCTTCTCCCCATTACCAGCAAGTATGTGGAGGGCCCCTGCAACGGCCAGCATCTTGGCCTTCGTGGAGGGATCGATGTTCCCCACGCTGGTGCAGCGCAGTCCCACCATGCCTAGGAAGAGGCCCAGGAAGCCCAGGAGGATGGCGGTGATCATGAGGGCGCGGCAGCCCTGGACATACCCTGGGGATGCAGGAGAGTGAATGTCAGTCTTTTCCGTCATACAGTCCCTCAGCAGGCATGCTTTCCCACTGGTCTCTCTCACCTAAGTCTCCTAGCTACTCCCCCCTTCCGGATCCATGTCAACCCCCCCTCTTATCCGTTCTGCTCGGTCTCGGCTCCCTCACCCTGCAACCCCTCTTTCTATGCTGGGGTGCCACTGTTGAAACTTAAAAACAACAACAACAGGCCTTATGGAGCCCAGGATGGCCTCATACTTGTTAAATAGCTCGACATGACCTGAAGTTTCTGACCCTCTGTCTCCATCTCTCCAGGTTGGCAGGACAGGCTCACACCACCACGCCTGGTTTATGTGGTGCTGGGGAAGCAACCCAGATGTTGCCAAAATTCCTTCCCTGGGGGAATGGAATCAACATCTGCCCCTTCTTCTTGTGGTCGAGAACAAACCAAAGTAGTATTCTACTAAATATCACTTTGGGCGGGAACAGTGAGTTTACTGGGCTGCCTCACAGAGAGCATGGGTGATGGTTTCCCAGGCCACAGGCCATTAAGGCAGAATTGCAAACAAATGGTTGGGAGGCTGGGTTCAATGACTCTTCCCATCCTCTCCTTTTCTGAGAGAATGTCAACAGTCCACAAGCCAGCCTCTGATGGACTCTAGCAAGCAGGGATATTGATCTCACCGCAGCTTCAGGGAAGCTAGGCTCTACCTGCTGAGCTACACCCCTGCTTGTTTTTGTTTTTCTTCTCTTTTCTTTTTTTTTTTTTTTGAGACAAGGTCTCACATAAACTAGACTGGCCTCCAACTTGCTATGTTGCCAAGGATGATCTTGAGATAATTTCTTTTCCTTTTTTTGAGACAGAGTTTCTCTGTCCTGGCACTGACTCTGTAGACCAGGCTGGCCTTCAACTCACAGAGATCTGCCTGCCTCTGCCTCCCGAGTGCTGGGATTAAAGGTGTGCGCCACCACCGCCTGATTTGAGGTGACTGTTGATCCTCCTGCCTCAGCCTCTGGTTTGCTGGGATTTTAGGCATGTGTCACCATATCTGACACCATTGGTTAGAGCTGAGTTTCTTCTGGAATAACCAGCAGGGGGCGGCAATGACTCAGGGCAGATGATCTAGGGCCTGGGTGGTTGAGGGCTGGGGAGATGGGAAACCTGGGTCTAGGAACACATCCCAGTTGGTTCAGCTCATAATCTTTCAGTGTCTCAGTTTCCCTTTCCTCAAATATGAGGGAAGCTGCTGGCCCCTCCTGGGTTTTGATGGCTGCTAAGCACTTTCAGGGACCTTGGACCCCTTTCCCGGGTGGGGCCCATAGCGTGGAGTTGAAGGCAAAAGGCTTGGGTGTCTGCCAGGAAGAGATGAACTAGCTTGGAGTTAGAGGTATGGAGGAGGGACAAAGTTCTCTGAGAGGACATTATGACTCCCAGCCGCACCTTCTAGAGAGTTCCTCACAAATTCTTATTTTCATTTCTCCTGAGATAGGGTTTCTCTGTGAAACAGTCCTGGCTGTCCTGGAACTCACTCTGTAGACCAGGCGGGTCTAGAATTCACAGAGATCCTGCCTCTGCTTCCTGGGAGTGGCAGAGATTGAAGGCGTGCACCACCATCGCCCAGCTGCCCACCAATTCTTTGCTTGCTTTATTTTTCCAGACAGGGATTCTCTGTGTAGCTTTGGAGCCTGTCTTGGAACTCACTCTGCAGACCAGGCTGGCCTCGAACTCACAGAGATCCTCCTGCCTCTGTCTTTGCCTCCCTGGGTCCTGGGATTAAAGGTGTGCACCACCACTGCCAGGCTTGCTTTCTTTTTAAAATTTATTTATTCTTATTTTATATACATTGGTGTTTTGCCTGCATGTGTGTATGTGTGAGGGTGTCAGATCTTGGAGTTACAGACAGTTGTTAGCTGTCATGTGGGTGCTGGGCACTGAACCCGGGTCCTCTGGAAGAGCAGTCAGTGCTCTTAACCTCTGAGCATCTCTCCAGCCCCCCACCAAGTCTTTTTTTTTTTTTTTTTTTGGTTTTTCGAGACAGGGTTTGGAGGCTGTCCTGGAACTCGCTCTGTAGACCAGGCTGGCCTCGAACTCACAGAGATCCGCCTTCCTCTGCCTCCTGAGTGCTGGGATTAAAGGCGTGTGCCACCAACGCCTGGCTCCCCCACCAAGTCTTAATGTGCATTAATTCTTAATGGACAGAGGAACAGTGACTAAAGGACTTGCAGGTGTGTGGGTCGGTGGTTGAACAGTGTAGAGGTGGCATAGGTGTGAAGTCATTGATAGTTAGGCCTGGCTTGGTGACCTATGCCTGAAATCACTACAGCGCTCAAGAGGTTAGGGCAAGAGAGCGCAGGTACAAGGCCAGCCTGGGCATCTCCGCAAGACTGTCCCACAATGAACAATAAAGGGAGCTGGCGCTGTAACTCAGAGGTTTGCAGTTCCCCAGGGAGGGCTTGGAGGGTCACTTTTAGTGGTAGAACACCAACCAGCTTGGAATGCTCATGGGAGGGACAGATAGTTCACTGGTAAAATGCCCGTCTAGCAGGGTTAGGGTTGTTAGTTGAATCTCTGGTACTGGGTACAAAGAAAGATAGGATCCCTTTGGGACTCAGCAGACACAGAGGAATAAACTGGTCCACAGCCCAGACACAGCGGATTAGAATCACAGCTTCCTCTCCACTTCCTCTGCCTCCAGGCGGGTTGCTTAACTCTGCAGAGTGGTCCAGCGTTGACGAAATGAGGTTAGTGATGTAAATATTTCTGAAAAGCATGGATGTGCATAGTGGGAAGGGTAGTGCCCATACCGAAGGGAAAACTAGATATGGCGGTGCACACCTGTAACCCCAGCACCCAGGAGGCTGATGCAAGAGGCTCTTTTGGAGCTAAAGGCCAGCCAAGGACCACATAGTTGAGGTCAGCGATCAGAGCATGTAGCAGTGCCATGTCTCAAAACACAGCCAGGCGGTAGTGGCGCACAGCCCTCGGGAAGCAGATATCTGTGAGTTCAAGGCCATCCTGGTCTACTGAACAAGTTCCAGGACAGGCTCCAGAGCTACAGGGAAACCCTGTCTCCCAAAACAAACAACAACATTACACACACATACCCCACAAACCAACCCAAACCAAAAACCACAAAAAGGAAGTGACAGGAGCCCTGGAGATCTCAAGGCCTTCTGTTCTCCATCACCCCCAGCAAACTCCCCTGAGACTTCCCTCTAAACGCATGTTCTCTTGCAGGCAAAGAGCAGCAACACCGTGTGAGCCCCCTCTTAGGTAGCCAGGTTCACAGCAAAACGCCCTCTGCACAGAGGGGACGCAGCAGAGTTGCCCACACCTGTGGTCCCTTCTGGGCACTTACTGCTCTGAGTTTGTGGTCCAGAATAGAGTCAGCTTTTCCAAAGGTTTGGGCCAGAGCACCATCAGAGGCCCTGGAGTGTGAAACCCTTGCCGCTAGGTACCTCAGGAGATTTGGGGAGAGAGGCGCCGGAGATCACCCAGACACCCATGCTGCTCGGGGCACCTTCCAGATGCATGGGGCCAGCTCAAAGCGTTTACTTTCCCACCCCGGGCTGACCTCAGTCTCCCACCCGCTCATCACCTGCTGTTGGATTTCTAGAAAAGCGGGACCCGAACTTGGTGGCAGGAACATCGAGGGAGGGTTCATGGTCATCGCCGCAGTCTTTGCAGCATGAGAGAGCCGAGGAAGCCCAAGTGGACTCCTTGGGGGAAGCGATGGCAGGGGAGGGAGAGTTGTTGTGCAAATGTGCGAGAGCGCCAGGGTCTAAGAGCTGCAGGCTGCAGCCGAGCCCCGCATCCCCAGCATCCACTGAGACTTCCTAGGAGACTCCCCTCCAGAGAGCTCAGCAGGGTAGATGCACCACAGTCTGTGATGTCCAGAGAGCTACTGAGGCTGGCAGTCAATCCACCAAGAGGGAGCCTTGGTCCCATGCCTGACAACTGAGCAAACCCTCCCCAGAATAAATCGCTAAAATATAGTCCACATCCCGTTCACACCTGCACGTCTTTGTTGCCCAGAGGCCTGAGAAGCACCCGTGCACTGGCGCCACGATTACTCCTGGCTTGCAGATGGCTAAGACTAAATTCATGCCATCATTCACCGGAGGCCTGGAGCTAGCAAAGCCCTGAATTGCATATGGGAGCTCCACTCAGCTGGTACCGGATCACATATGTTAGGGAACCATGTGTTCCATTCCGGGTTACGCAGAGCTCTTGGCCGAAGCTGCCAGAACTGGGGGCTTCATCTGAACTTTCCTCATTACGACACCCAAGGCCAGGCCTCAGGCAACCACCTCCACCCTCTTCTCTAGGATCCCCCAGCCGGCCACCCAACCTCCCTCTGTCCCCTAGAGGCCCCCTCACCCCGTACCAGAGAGGGCCAGCATGGAAGGGAACTCCCAGCAGTTGGAGACTCCCAGGGAGTCGGTGGCACAGCTGTACCATAGGTTCTCAAAGATGGTGTTGGTGGTGATGACATTCCCGTGGACCGTAGACACTCTCCAGTAGCTGTTTGGTAGGGTCACCCCGAGCATCAGCAGTCCCAGGGCTGACATGAAGAAGCCGAAGGTCTCCACAGCTATAGACATGCTGGGATGCAGGTCCCCCAGGGGGCTTGAGCCCCAGGGATCGGGATAGAGGTGGCACCTTCAGGTGCGTTGTGGGGGCTTTGGCCCGGAAGAGATGTTAAGAGAGTCTGAGGAGGGAGCAGGGGAAGGGATGGCCCATCCAGCTGCTTGCCCGTCTTCTTCTGGCGCCCAGGTTGGATTGTCTTAGCCCGGTCCCTGGGACTGTCTGCTTCCTGGCAGGTCAGCGGAATGAGCCAAGCCCGCTCTGCTCAGCAGCTGTTGACTGTGATGCAGGGAATAAACGGGCCAAAAGTCCACCCCCCTCCCCCGGCCTAGCCCGGGACTCCCCGCCCTAGGAGGGGGGAGGCTGGACTTAATGGGAGACTCAGGGTTACAGCCAAGGAGCAGCCCCCAGGGACCCATCAGGAATCCAGGGGAAGTGGCCTGTCTCTGACTCAGCTGTCACCAGGGTCAGGGAATGAAATTAGAGGGACAAAGGGTTTTAGGTAACTGAGAGACCAGAGCTTCCATGATGGAGTACGAGATCCTGAGAGCAACCTAAGACATTGCAGACCCTGGGGTTGGGACACTTAAGGACCATGAAGGTTGATTACGGGGTGACAGGAGCTCTGGAATCAGGCCAGCGGGGGTTCCCACTAGACTCCAGCATTATCAAAGGGCCCTGGGCTTGGGTTTCTGGCTCCCAGCCTTGTTGACACAACACTATTGACTTCTTGGGTTGTAATGGGAGTTGGGAGCACAGATCACAGCTCCCGGCACACTCCCATGGCCCCAACGGTTGGTAATTGCCCTGGATCTAAATGCCGCAGGGCCGAGGTGAGGCCACCGAATGCTACTTTACTCCAACTTGCTGAACTTGAATTGTCCCTCCCAGAGCTGCCCTTTGACTCTTTGGTATTGAGTTTGATCTTGCTGCCAAGGGGCCAGGGGCCCAGGTTGGGGGATGGATCACAGGCCTAGGGCATGATTCTGGTTAATCTACCTATCCACTTACTGGGAACTATCACCGGCTCTCTTAATTCTGATAAATGGAAGCCTCTGGGTCCTCCACCCCAACCCTGGCTTAGCATAGATTTCCTTCTGGACCACTTCTGGCTTGGCACGCTGACACCAGGATTCCCTGTCCAGAGTGAGACAGAGCTATACTCTCTGAGGCCCCCCAACCCCCTTGCCCAGTATCAGGCTCCTCCCTGTTCCCCTCAGGTACCTCCTCCTGCTTCCTCGCAGGCCTGGCCAGGGCTGTGGAATGACAAGTATTCAGGGAAGCCAAACAGGCCCACGCAGAGCGGAGCCTGGCACTGCGGGCGGCGGGCATCTCTCCCTCCCATCCCACAGGCTGGGAATGGGGTTCCCTGTCCCCCATAACCCGTCATCTTCAGAGGGCTTCCTCTCTCACAGTGCGTCCTCCATCCATGTCCCGCTAAGGAGAAGGAGCAGGTGGAGGAAGGGGGGGCAGGAGGACAAAGGAAGGGCGGGGGGGGGGGGGTTTCTGGAGGAAGCCCAGCGGGCCCCCTGCAGTGGAAAACTCCCAGGCAGCTTAGTGGGTCAGAGGAGACCACAGTCATAAATCCCAGGCTGCTGCTCCCTCTTCTGTTCGCTGTTCTGTGGAAAAGCTGTTCCCTGTTCTTGCGCTGTGGATTCAGGAGAGGGGAGGAAGGAAGGGTGTGGGCTGGGATGCTGGCAAAGGAACTTGGAGGGGGGTTGTGGGGGCCACAGTGCACCCAGTGAACCTGCTCCCCCCTCAACAGACTCTCAAGACACAGAGGTTCCCAGCCACAGCCCAATTTTATTTACACTCATTGCGAAGCGGGACTTAGGGTTAAGTAACAGGTGTCAGGGGTAAGGTCATGGGGACTGTAGAGGTGGAGGCAGGGTTGGGGAAGAAACGGGAAGGCGATGGTGAGGATGGACAGGACCCTTTTCCAGTGTCCCCCAGGCTCCCAGGTGCACCAGGGCAGAGAGCAGGTGAGGCTGTCTTCAGGATTTGGACTTGGAGACAGCTAGTCCAATGAGTCCAGCCAGCCCCGCCACACCCAAGGCCATGCCACCAACAATGGCCATGCCCACTAGTCCATCTGGAAAAGGAAAGAAGCAGCCGTGAGCAGACGGGTCCTGCCCCCAGGCCCCCTGACCACACTCCCCTCCACAGGAGAGGGGAGCCTGCATCCAGAGTCTGGGGGTTAGGGCTCCAGAGACCTTTGGGGTAAGTCTGACACAGGGCCCCGGGCATGAGGGAGGAGACAGTAGATGTCACCTTTCTTCATGGCCTTGTCGATGAGGCGCTCCAGCTCCTTGACCTGGTTGTTCTGGGGCTCCGTCTGCAGCAGACCTCGCACATACTTGAGCGCCTTCTCATACTCCTGCAGCCAGGAGACGCCTCACGTCACACGCTCTTGCCAGCTCACCCAGGCTGCCCTCCTCTGGCCCTGGCTCAGGCTCATCCTCCTCCTCCTCCACTCCTGCTACAACCCCACCCCACAGAGTAGAGTCCACGAGCAGCCCAGCTGTGGGGGGTGATAAGCTAGCAGAGATAACAGCTCCAGGCACGGGGCTGCACGTCACCACAGTCCCCACGCCCTGAAGCCTCATCTTCCCCTCAGAGTCTGTCTTAGACTCACTCTATCCCGCGCACTTACCGCAGCCCCAGCCCGCTGCCCTCTGATAGCTTCCTGGGGCCAGGGCTCTGCCTGGGGACTCAAGTGGGATGTGACTGGGAAGGGCTCCACAGCCTTACCTTGAGACGGTAGTTGCCCACCGCCAGGTAGAAGACATAATCCCGCTGTTCCTCTTTGCTCCCTTTGGGCAACAGCTCTGGAGGGGAGGAGGGAGAGGAGAAAGATGGATCCTCTCTTTAAATTTATATTTTATGTGCACTGGTGTTTTGCTTGCATGTATGCTTGTGTGGGGTGCTGAGATCCTCTAGAACCAGATTACAGACAGTTGTGAGCTGCCATGTGGGTGCTGGGAATTGAACCCAGGTCCTCTGGAAGAGCAGCCAGTGCTCTTAACTGCTGAGCCACCTCTCCAGGCCCCCGATTCTCTTCTTAGCATTGTGTTCCACAGGTCCTGCCATGCTGACTCACTCTAGGATCCTGAGAAGGTCACTGTCCTAGGCCTCCATTATCAGTTTCTATCACCCTTGGCTTTGTAGTCTCAGCCCGGAGACAGCGTGAGCCCGCCAGACACCTGTGGTAGATGCAGGGATCCGGCCTGCACTGATGGGTGCAAGCCCTCATGGGCGCATCCCTGATGGCCAGCTAGAGGGTCTCACTGCAAGGCCGCCTCCTGTCTGACAGTTGCATTCCCTCAGCATCGAGCTGAGGGTGACCAGGACTTCTAACCCTGCTGCTGCCACCTCCTGAGAGGCGCAGGACCACACCTGGCTCATGTGGTGCTGGGAGTGGAACCGAACCAGCGTCTCAGGCACTCTACTCACTGAGCTTTTGTTTCTCCTTTCCCCGGGACAGGCTTTCTCTGTGTAGCCCTGGCTGTCCTGGAACTCTCCCTGTAGACCAGGCTGGCCTTGAACTCAAGAGATCCACCTGCCTCTGCCTCCCGAGTGCTGGGATTAAAGACATGCACCACCACAATGCATCCCCTTCTCTTTAACTCAACTTCCCTGAGTGACCTTCACCTGACTATTTCTCTCTCTCTCTCTCTCTCTCTCTCTCTCTCTCTCTCTCTCTCTCTCTCTCTCTCTCTCTCTCTCTCTCTCTGTGTGTGTGTGTGTGTGTGTGTGTGTGTGTATTTGGGATAGGGGTTAAGATAGGGACTTATGGTCAGAGTGGTGGCACACCCCTTTAATCCTGGCACTTGGGAGGCAGAGGCAGGCGGATCTCTGAGTTTGACCAGGACTGATCAAAGTAGGGTGACAGTATTTGATCTTACAAAGGCCCCAGAGCTCATGGTCACCTCAACTCCCAGCACTAAGGTGGCTGAAGCAGGATTCAGAAGTTGAAGCTTCCTGAGCTATGTAAAGACCCTGTGTCAAAATCAAAAATCAACTGAATGACATAGGCATCCTTTGTTAATACAGTGTTGTCCCAGGAGCCTTAGGGATTATCCCAACATGCCCCTCAGATTCCAAAATCTACAAATGTAAAGGCCCTTATATAAAATTAAACACTATTTATACAGAACCTAGTTGTATTCCCCAAAGATGCTTTTTTGAGACAGGGAACTCAGGTAGCTCAGGTTGACCTCGAATTTGATCAGTATATAGCTGACTCTGGCCTTGAACTTCTGCCTTCATCTCTGTCTGCAATCAATGTTCTACTATTGAACTATGCCCTCATGCCTCTACCTAGGATCACATGTCTTCAATTCCACTAGCCCCTCAGATATTTTAAATCTCTAGAACTTTTAAAATTACTATTCTACAATACAATGTAAATGCTATATTAGCAGCAACTAATAACTGAAGAAAGAAATTTTTGTGGCTATTATATTGTGTGTGGTATGTAGGGTTACCTGTGTGCAGATGTACACGCAGAGGCCAGAGGCACTCTCTACCCCATTCCCTTGAGAAAGGGTTTCCCCGAACCCGGGGCTAAGACCCGCAGCCTCACTGCCATTCTCTGTGCAGGCATCCGTGGCCACACTCAGCCTTTTCCACGGGTGCCGAGGATTCGAACTTAGGTCTTCAGGAGTCACCTCCCCAGCCCGAGAACACATTTTTCTCCACAGCATTTTCCATCTGAACGAATGTTCGGATGTTGAAACTGGGGATACAGAGTCGACCTGGTCTTTTGCTGCTGTGGACTTACTGGTGGTTACTGGTGGCTATGAGGTGAGGGTTCCATGTTGAAAAGGACCCTGGAGGGGTGAGGTCAAGGGGCCCAGCGCCTTACCCTCCAGGAGCACGATGCCTCTACGGATGTCGTCACTGTATTTGCTTCGCACCAGGCACCAGGCATACTCAAACTGTGTGCTTTTGGATACAGAGCCAGCTGCCTGCTCAGACTGAAATTTCCTTTCAAAATTCTGTCGTTGGAGAGAAAGGGAGTCATTTAGAAACAAAGGGCGTGCACCGGTCTCCATCTGAACTTGGTGTCAAGTCCCACGTTGGTACCCAGGCTCTGTGCCCTTCCCTCAGAAAGTCCCTGCCCAGCCCCTACTGGTACCAAGTGGAGACGACATCTGGTGGCAGCCGCGGGCACTGCTCCTGGGCCAGCTGACCCCAGCAGCTGAACAGTACACGTCACAGCAGCTAAATGACCTTCCACTCGCCTTCACTTAAGGCTGCTGGTTCCGTCTCACCCTACTTTTGGGGGGGGGGGCTGGGTCTGCCTTACCTTAATTCTAGAAGAGGAAAGAAAACACTGCTACAAGGAACCACGCTGGACTCAACACTAGCAAAAGCTTACGCAGGTGACTATGCTACCTCATCGCTTGCATGAGTACCCTAAACTCCAACTCAGCATCACGCTTAAACCCCTAACACGCCAGGCCTCAGGTCGGAGCCAAAACCCTGGAAACTACAACTCCCATCAGGCCCAGGAATACAACGCCGGTTCCCACAAGAGGCAGGACATCGCAGAGGCTGCTGGGAGCAGTAGTTCCGTTTCCCCAGCAAGCCGAAACCGGCAGTGCTCGGCCTCGGTCAGCTCTCCTCAGGAACTGCCCTTTCCGATTCTGCCCTCCCCCTTCCTCTGGCCCAGGCCTCACCTTCAGATCCTCCACTGACACCAGCTCGTTTAGCACAGCCTCCATGGCCACCACCCCTGCAAGTCTCACACTGAGATCTCTACTGGGCCACGGTCTCCATGGTCCAGCAGCAGGGGCGGAGAGGCACTTCCGGCATCGACCTGTGGAGGCCCCGCCCCTTCCTTCTGTGCCTGGGGCCGGAGGAAGCGCTAACGCCAACGTTGGGGTCGTCTGCTTTTTTTTGGACTCACCTGGTGCCCAAGCTAGACCCTACCTACTCGGAGGAGCACATTATCCTAGGGACCAGTCTAAAATCCCTCACTGTCCGGATATGTGGAACCCTGGAGGCTCTTGCCTTTCAGGTACCAGGGCCCGAGGGTCTTGGCTCACACCCTGCAAGCGTATTTGGGGCACATGATCACAGAGGACACTCTCACAGGGACATGCAGACAGCTGAGGGGCCAGAGTCACAGTCGGGGCTAAAGGTGGAGGAGCCAAGTTGTTCCCAGTGCCCACACTGGCTCACTGCTGCCTGTGATTCCAGCTCCAGGGACACACACACACACACACACATACACACACACACACCACACACACATACACACACACCACACACACACCACACATACACACCACACACACATACACACACCACACACACACCACACACACACACCACACATACACACCACACACATACACACACCACACACACATACACACCACACACACACCACACACACATACACACACACCACACACACACCACACACACACACCACACATACACACCACACACATACACACACCACACATACACACACACCACACACACACCACACATACACACACACCACACACACATACCACACACACACACACCACACACACACCACACACATACACACACACCACACATACACACACACCACACACACATACACACACACCACACATACACACACACCACACACACATACACACACACACCACACATACACCACACACATACACACACCACACACACCCGCCTGTGATTCCAGCTCCAGGGACACACACACCACACACACACACACCACACACACACACACACCACACACCCGCCTGTGATTCCAGCTCCAGGGAGACACGCACACACACACACACACACACACACACACACACACACACACACACACACCCGCACTCCCGGGCATCTACTCATGCAGACACACAGCCATACACACATCTAAAAACAAAACTTAAACGCTGCCCCTTGCAGGGTCAGACCTTTCAAATGTAATTTAGCCAAACCATCTCTGTGATCCTGAGGATTTCAGGGTCACAGGTAATGACCCCAAGGCCTTTAGTCTGAGGAGGAGCAAAAGGCAAACGCTAACCTCTGGTATTTTAGTATTAGGAGCAGTAAGTGGTGACTTTTCTGGGCATTTCATCTTGACTCAACATGATTTTCTGTTGGTATGGTTTTGAGGCAGAGTCTTACTATATTACCCTGACTGGCCTTGAACTCCGAGATCTGTCTGCCTCTGCCTTCCAAGTTCTGGGATCAGAGCTGTACGCCGCCACACCTAATGCATCTTTGTTGAATAAAATATGAAGAAAGCGATTACCAAACCCTCTCTGTGGTTGCACCCCACCCCCACCCCGCATGTCCCTGAATGCACGCATGTGGAGCCCACAGGCAACTTTGGGTAGCACTCCTTAGGTGCCCCCATCCCCACCCCCGCATGTCCCTGAATGCAATGCATGCGTGTGGAGCCCACAGGCAACCTTGGGTAGCACTCCGTAGGTGCCCCCATTTGGCTCCTGGGACAGACTCTCTCACTGCCTTAGGGTTTCTACTGCTCTGATGACAATGACCACAGCACCTTGGGGAGGACAGGGCTTACTGGGCTCACACTCCACGTCACAGTTCATCATTAAAGGAAGCCAGGAACTCGAGCAGGGCAGGATCCTGGAGGCAGGCGCTCATGCAGAGGCCATGGAGGATGCTTCCCCTGGCTTGCTGCCCCTGGCTTGCTCAACTTGTCTTCTAACTTTCCTATGTCAGTGACAGACAGCAAACTCCTGTCCTCACAATTCTTACATTGGGGGGCATAAATGAGAGCCTGTAATTCTGCTCTTGGGAGGTGGAGGCAGGAGGATCGAAGTTCAAGGTCGTCCTTGGCTACACAGCAAGTTCAAATCCAGCCTGGGGTATATGAGCCCCTGTTGGGAGCCCAACAATCCAAGGCTTTCTCAGAGGCCTGGATAAAAGGACAAAGGGAATGCTAGCTCTGTGTCACTGCCCAGGAGCAGACTTGGCAAGGTCTGAGGCTGGGGCTGTGCCTTGAAGGAGTGAAGAGTGCAGTTGGTTGGTGTCCTATCCTCCCCTTAGCCTGCAGCTAAGCTGGAGCTGATGGTGTCTGATTTCGCTCTCTGCTACCTTGGCCCATTCTCCCCTTACAAATACCGAATAAGATGTTGCATCTCCTAATAAACTTGCTGAGTATAAGTCATCAACTTATGCAAGACTCCTGGTTCCAGTTATGTGTTGTTTTCCTCTCTCACCCCACCCTTGCCCCTTAGCACCTTCATTTCTGTGGGTTCAGGTTGAGACACGGCTGTTTTTTTAAAAATGAAAACTGATGCCTTTAATCCCAGCAGAGGTAGGTGGATCTCTGTGATCAGCCTGGACAACAGAAGGGAGGGGGGGAGAAGGAGGGGGGGGAGGAAGGAAGGAAGGAAGGAAGGAAGGAAGGAAGGAAGGAAGGAAGGAAGGAAGGAAGGAAGCTGAGCTAGTGGCCAGGTGTGACTATGCACGCCTGTAATCCCAGCACTGGGAGGCAGAGACAGGCGGATCTCTCTGCACTTGAGTTTCAGGACAGCCAGGGCCATGTAGAGAGATCCTGTCTCAAACCACCAAATAAGAAAGAAAAAAAGAAAACAGCTTGCTTTTCCAGACCTGAGTTCAGTTCCCAGTTCGCATGTCAGATGGTTTACAACCTCCTGTCTCTGGGTACCTACACACATATATACATATAATTAAAATAAATCTTTCTAAAAATGAAAAAACAAAACCCAAAACATTGTGACAAAGTGAGATGTATACATCTTCTGACACAAGGTTCATAAAACCCCTGTTTTTTGTTTTTCAAGACAGGGTTTCTCTGTGTAACAGGCCTGGTTGTCCTGGAACTCACTCTGTAGATCAGGCTGACCTTGAACTCACAGAGTGGTTTTTGTTTTTTTGTTTGTTTTCACTATGCAGCCCTGGCTGACCTGAAATGGCTACCTGAAATGGTAGCCCAGAATAATCTTAAACTCACAGCAATCTACTGTCTCTGTCTCCCACATGCTGGAATTAAAGGCGTGTGCTACCACACCCAGATAATATCCCTGGTGGGGGTCATGGGAACATCCCAGTCCTGGATCCCTTCAATCCTCCCGAGGAATGAGGGCAATTCTCATCCTGCTGAGATGGAGTCTGGTGGGTCCCGGGGAGCTTCAGGACAGGGCTGCTCACAGAAGAATAAATGAACAGCTTGGAACTCTGTGTCTTACCCATGCCACGTTGGTTCGTTAGGGGCGTGAAGCTGCCATAAAAGGCTCTCACTGCATTTTAGAGCCTCTGGGTTGGTAATCACGTGGAGTATCATGAAGCCATGCATGAATTACCCTCCACCCCACACAGCCCACGCACCTCGTTCAACCGGCCACTCCCGGGCTGCACCTTTCCAAAGGAGCCAGAGCTGGCGGGGGCTTCCGAGTCCCTCAGCGGCTTCAGCGCTTGGTCTGCAAACCAGCCGCTCAGAAGGGCAGGTGGCAGCGCGGGCCTGTGAGGGCCATCTGAAGCGGGAGGTATCTCGAAGGACTGAGCTCTCTAACTTGTGGCTTCAGGTGCCAGCACAGGGGAGACACCTCGTGTCAGCACTGACTTGTAGGTAGACCTCAAGACAGTGTCCACACGTGGAGAATCACTTGGGATCTGGAGAAGTTTGTGTGAGATATCTGAGAGGGAAGAAATTGTTTTCTCCTTTAAACGGGGGCTTGGGCTGCAGCTCGGTGCGCAGAGCGTTGCCTAGCAAGCATGAGCACAGAAACATGGCCCCAAATCAGCAAAGGCGCTCGCTCGCTGTAGGGGCTGATGCGTTTGCTCCCTGGGACCCACACGCTAGAAAGAACCAACTTTTACCACATTGTTCTGTCACCCGCATTCAGACGCAGCACATGGGAATCCTCCATGATGAACGAACAACCGTGGGGAGGGAGGAAAAGAAAACCACCGCCGGGGCTGGAGAGGTGGCTCAGAGGTTAAGAGCACTGACTGCTCTTCTAGAGGTCCAGAGTTCAATTCCCAGCAACCACATGGTGGCTCACAACCATCTACAATTCAATCTGATGCCCTCTTCTGGCATGTAGGCAGAGCACTGTATATGTAATAAATAATAAATAAATTAAAAAATCTAAAAAAAAAAAAACCACCGCCAAGCGGAAGAAAGCCCACAGCCATGCGGGGAGCTGACAGCACACAGAAACGTTCCAGGAAGGAAGAGCAGGCTGCTGTGGAAGTCTGTGCTGGGGAGAGGGGAGCGGGGGAAGGGGGGCACAGCCCAGCACCACCACGTGAAGGAGTGAGCAACAGGGGCAAATGGGAGGGTATTCCAGGCAGGCAAGGGCAAATCCTAGCTATTGTAGGAGCCAGCAAGAGAATCACAAGTTCAAGGCTCAGTGGTTAAGAGAACTTAATTCTCTTGCAGAAGACCCAAATTTGGTTCTCAGTAACCACAATGGCTCCAGAGGATTTTTTTTTCTTTTTTTCCTCTCTCTTTTCTTTTCTAGACAGGGTCTCACTATGTAGCCCTGGTTGGCCTAGAACTTGCTATGTAGCCCAGATTGGTGTCAAATTCACAGATATCCACATGTGTCTGCCTCCCTGGCATTAAAAGCGTTCACCACCATGGCCAGTGTGTGTGTGTGTGTGTGTGTGTGTGTGTGTGTGTGTGTGTGTGTGTGAGTGAGTATGTGCAGGTGTGAGTGTGTGAGTATGTGTGAGTATATTGTGTGGTGTGTGAGTGTGTATGAGTGTGAATGTGTGTACACCAACGTGTGTGCTGTGATGTCCAGTGCCGGTCAGAGGAAACCTGCAGAGCTCAGTTCTCTCCACCCACCACCCAGTCTCGGGGATCAAACTCGAGTTGTAAGCCAGGCAGTAAACACTTTTACCCTGCTTGTTCTAGTTAGATTTTATTGCTGTAACAGACTATGACCAAGAGCAATTCAGGGAGGAAAGGGTTGATTTGGCTTATACATCCAAACATTGTCCATTCGCGGGGAAAGCAGGGCAGGAACCTGGAGGAGGCAGGAGCTGATGCAGAGGCCATGGAGGCAGCTGCTTACTGGCTCCCCATGGCTTGCTCACCCTGCTTCCTTACAGAACCAGGACCACCAGTCCAGGCATGGTACCTCCCACAACGGGCTGGGGCTCCCACATCAAAGTTCAAGCGAATGCCCATAGACTTGGCCACATGCTAAACTGATAGTGATTCTCAGCTGCAGCCCCCTCTTCCCAGATGACTGGCTTGTGTCAAGATGACAAAGACCTAACCAGCACACCAGAGTCATTTTACTAGTCCCTAAGTTTGTAATGACTTGTTCACTGCCACTAATTAGAGGCTTCACAACAGTGCAGGTTAAGTGACAATCCCAAACAGGCAAAGCAAGCCTGAAGGACTGTTTTTTAGGGTGGCTCACTACTAAAATGACTCCCAACATCATCACCCCCAGTTCTCCTGAAACTCAAAATCTGATTTCATCCTCATCGATAGTGGCTCTGCTTGCCCTGCACTATTTTTCAGTATGTAATCAGCCACTTGTGCTGATGATGGGATTAATCTGGGCCTCCTGCCTTAGCCCGGAAGGTACATGAGAGCAGAATCTATGTCTGCGCTTACTGAGCCCAGTTCAGTGCCTAACACCAGAAGACACTCACATCATAATTATCGAGGAAACAGATCCTTGTCATTACTAAGTTTAAAAACAATTATTTTTCATTTTGTTTGCCTGTGTGTATGAATGTGTACCACATACAGGCCTGGTGCCCTCAGAGGTCAGAAGAGAGTGTTGGATCCCTTGGAACTACAGTTATAGACGGTTGTGAATCACCATGTGGGTGGTGGGCATAGAACTTGGGTCTTCTGCAAGAGCAATGAGTACTCTAAAACTATGAGCCAACTCTCCATCCCCTCATTATGAGAGAGAGAGGGAGGGAGGGAGGGAGGGAGAGAGAGAGAGAGAGAGAGAGGGAGGGAGGGAGGGAGGGAGAGAGAGAGAGAGAGAGGGAGGGAGGGAGGGAGGGAGGGAGGGAGGGAGGGAGAGAGAGAGAGAGAGAGAGAGAGAGAGAGCATATGGAGGCCAGAAGCTGACATCCAATCTCTTCCACTATTGCGCCCCGACCTTATCTTACAAGGCTGGTCTCTGTCACTGAACACACAGTGTACCCACTAGACTGGCTAGTTTGCCCTGAACCCACCTATCTCTCCTCCTCCCCTCATCACTAGGGTTACAGATGTGCACAACCAAATCTAGCCTTTAATGTGGGCGTGGGGGATCTAAACTCAGGTCATCAGGCTTGGCAGCAAGTGCCTTTATGGACAGAGACATCTCACCTGCCTCCCATGTATATGTACAAATATGTATGTACGTACGTACATACGTGTACACACACACACACACACACACACACACACACACACGGCAGGGTCCCAATAGCCCACGTTAGCTCTGAAGTCCTTTTCTATTGCCCCCACTTCCCAATTTGGGGTTATAGGCACACCCATCGTCACTGCTGACTTTCTAGAAAGTTAATATACAGTAAGTAACATAAGACACAGCTAGACCCAATATAGTTTGTCTAAGGAATATACTCATTGGGAAAATGTTCAATGGGAGGGGACGAAAGGTAGGTACGAAGATATTCATCTTGCATCATCTGAGACGGAAGACACAGTTTTTATTAAATGATACTCCAGGGGGCTTAAATGACACAAGCGGATTGGTTTCCGACCTGTAGATGGGAATACTCAAAGAAAAACAAAACACTCTCGAACTCTGGCAAGGAAGGGCAGGGACATCGAAGGTCGGTGAGATTTAGCTGTGGTCCGGATTCTGGGCTCTGGGCCCCTCCGCCTTGAGCCCATCAGCGGGAAAGACCCTCCTGAGCAGGACTCCGCTTGGCGCTCTCCCAACCTTCTGCTCCCTTCCCCCTACTTCTCAGGTGCACTGGCTACGCGGTACGTTAAGATGTCTTGGCAAGGGTCACTCCACTCGCTCGTGCCATTTACGAAGCAGCTCCTACCTGCCGGGCATTCTTCTCAGTCCCGCGCAGGAGAACACAGCCCTTGTTCTCACGGAAGTTGCACCGCGGTGGAAGAGCCCGGTCAGCTAACTAATCCATATTATATAATCAGGCGACCCCTGCTTCAAGCCCGTCGACCACAATTCAAGCCGCTGCATTTCATGGTCAAAACAGGGGCGCTGAGGTGCTTACTAAACACCGTCGAGAGCGGGTGCACGCCTATGACCCGGGAGGCTGAGGCGGGGAGACTCCCGAGTTCCAGGCTGGCCTGGGCTACATGGCAAGACCTTGTCTCAATAAATAAAATAACGTTTGAGTGTCTCGATCGACCCCACTTACCTTGCAGCTGCATCTCTGGGCACCCACGCGTCCTGCACCCGAGGGTGCTCTCATGACAGCGACTCATCAGGCGGAGTCCTCCATCCCGCACCGCGGCCGGGGCTGGGCCCGGGGCGGCTCTCTGCGGGCACTTTGGGAGCTATCCCCGACCGCGCGACCCCTTCAAGCGACAGCCACTGCGCCTGGTTCATCTTTTCTGTCCAAGGACGGCCGTCTGAGGACAGCCTCAGGGTAGAAGGAGTGGGGCGAGCGTTACGGAAAGCACGCTTGGGGCCTCTCTGGGAGCCTGAACTTCCGGGTGGACCCTCGGCTGGGGTTGCTCTAGGAAGAGTCTCGGTGGTCTGGAGGACCGGGAGCCGCTCCTTGGGGAAGGGGAAGGCATTGCGTCTGCGCGGTAGCTGCCCTCGGCGGGGAGGCGGGGCCGAGCGGAGCCAAGGGCGGAGCGAGAGGACCACACTGGTCAGCGAGCTTAATTAGGCTGCTTCAGCAGGGGGCGTGGCGACGCGAGGAGGGCGGGGCACGGCCGGACGCTGGGAAGAGGGTGTCTTCATCTATCCGTGTTCCAAAGATTGTTTTCACAGACCCGCAAGATGGCTCAGCGGGTACAGGGCCGAACCTGATGACATTAGATCGATTCCCCAGGAGACATATGGTCAATGGCGAGAGCTGACACTGCAAGTTGTTCTGACCTCCATACATGCATTGTGGTATGCGCACACTCGAAATTAATAAAACGTAATACAAATGGCTTATTTTAAATGTGTGTGTGTGTGGTGCCTGTGGAAGCCAGAGGCCAGTCTTCTTCAGTCTCTCTTTATTTTTGAGATGGTTCTGTCTGGCCTGGGAAGCCATATGTACATCGGGCTAAGCCCTAAATCACAGAGACCCGCCTGCCTCTGCTTCCCCGGTGTTGGGATTATCGGGGCATCGCTACACCGGGCTCTCCATCTTGTTCTTTTGAGACAGGTTCTCTCACTGAACCTGTGTCAGAGTTTGATCGAGGTGACAGGCGTCTCCGGAAGAGAAAGTGTTCTTTAGCCAGAACAGCTGAACATAGTAGACTCTCCTTGGATGTGGGATTTTGTGAACGGCATGGCGCCCTTGGGGCCGTACAGGATGGAATCGGAGACCTTAGGGGATAGAGGAGTCCATCTGCGGGTCCCTACAGGGTCAAAGAGGAGATGGATCTCCTCAGTCAAGTCAGCGTTCCTGTCCAGAGCTTCTCAGCCCACCTGAGGCTTTTAGGTAATAATTAGCCCTCTACCCTGGAGCTCACCAAACAGTCTGCCTGGCCAGGGAGGCCCAGGAATTCCCACCTCTGCCTCCAGCACCTGGATTACAAATACCTGACGCACTGTGCACAGCTCATGTAGACATCTAACTCAGTTCCTCACGTGTGTGACAACAGGAGCCGTTTCCCTGGCCCACAAAACCCAGATTTTACATGAGAACAGATCACAGGTCTTTACAATGAGAGCGAACAGGCAGTTTCCCACAGAGGCCTGGGCTACTGCTAGAGGGTTTTGTCTTGCGTACTGTGAGTTACTTAAGGCTGTCATTGCTAGCTTGCTGGCCGGGGCCCTTTTGCTCTGCCAGTCAACAGGAATGGGTAGGCAAGGAGAAATTCTTGCGATGCTGGTGACCCAGAACTCTAAGCAGTGACAATGGGGGCCTGTAGCTCAGGTTTTAGAAGCCAGTGACTTTGGCTGCTGTGTGTGCAGTCTGGGGCTGACTCTCCTGGGCTTCTACCAGCACAGTCCTCGGCTCTTGCGCCTCCTTCCTCTCTTCAGAGCCCCCACCATGCTGCTGTCTGTCCGTGGAGTTAGTGCTTCTTCTAATCAATGCCTTCTCTCTAAAACCCATCTCCTTGCACCTGATGTCACCGATGTTCCTGCTCTCTGGCCTGGAGTGTCTGAGACCTTGGCTCTTAGGGCAGGACAGATTTCTGAGGACCCTCCAGTGACTGGTGCCGGGTTTTTTGTTGTTGTTGTTGTTGTTGTTTTGTTTTTGGAGGGGGGGCGTTTCAAGACAGGGTTTCTCTGTGGCTTTGGAGGCTGTCCTGGAACTCGCTCTTGTAGACTAGGCTGTCTCCAACTCACAGAGATTCACCTGCCTCTGCCTCCCAAGTGCTGGGATTAAAGGCATGCGCCACCACCAATGCCTGCCCTTTTTTTTTTTTAAGATTTGTTATTTAATGTGCATGTATGTGTGCCTGAGTGTATGTAAATGCACCACATATGTGCAAGAGGCCAGAAGAGGGCATTGAATCCTCTGGAACTGGAGTTGCAGGTATTTGTCAGGGCCCAGATATGGGTACTAGGAACCTATTGTGGAATATTAGCTTAAGATGTGGTACATTCGTTTATACTGTGGAATATTTGTTTGATGATGCAAAGCTGTGTTGCATTATTTCATGTTGCTTTTGTTAAACTCTGTGAAGCTGTGCTACTTTGCCTGTCTAAAACACCTGATTGGTCTTTTTTTTTTAACATTTATTTATTATGTATACAGCATATGTCTATATGCCCACAGGCCAGAAGAGGGCACCAAATCTCATTACAGATGGTTGTGAGCCACCATGTGGTTGCTTGGAATTGAACTCAGGACCTCTGGAAGAGCAGGCAGTGCTATTATCCTCTGAGCCATCTCTCCAGCCCCCTGATTGGTCTTATAAAGAGCTGAATGGCCAATAGCTAGGCAGGAGAGAGAGAGTTGGAGCTATCAAGCAGAGAGAATAAATAGGAGGAGAAATGTATGATAAGGGAGAAGAAATGAGAGAGAAGGGAGGATCGAGAAAAGGAGGAGAGGGGGATGCCAGGGCCAGCCACCCAGCCACACAGCCACCCAGCCACACAGCCACCCAGCCACACAGCCACACAGCCACCCAGCCACACAGCCACACAGCCACACAGCCACACAGTCACACAGTCACACAGTCACACAGTCACACAGCCAGCCATGGAGTGAGATGGAAAAAAAGACAGACAGACTAAAGGGAGGTGAAAGTCCAGAGGCAAAACGTAGTTAAAGAGAACCAGGATAATTTAACTTAGCAAAGCTGGCTAGAAACGAGGCAAGCTAAGGTTGGGCATTCATAAGTAAGATTAAGTCTCAGTGTATTAAAACAACAACAACAACAACTCCAGGGACAGAGCAGCATTGTTCTTCAGCGCTGGCCTTCTCTCCAGTCCAGTGTCATGCCCCCCTTTAAAATTCAGACTTCTTTCCTTAGCCTTAGCTGTCTGCTCTTGCTCTACTTCCACAGTAAACACACACACACACAACACACACACACACACAAATATACAAACAATTATAGTTAAACAAAAACAGAGCACTGAATTCAAAAAAGGTATTTTCCAATGCCAGGCAGTGGTGGCACACACCTTTAATCCTAGCACTCAGGAGAGGCAGAGGCAGGAGGATCTCTGAGTTTGAGGCCACCCTGGTCTACAAAGTGAGTTCCACGACAGCCAGGGATATACAGAGAAACCCTGTCTTAAAAATACACAGAGGGAGGCAGGGAGGGAGGGAGGAAGGCAGGGAGGAGGCAGGGAGGCAGGGAGGCAGGGAGGCAGGGAGGCAGGGAGGAAGGGAGGGAGGGAGGCAGGGAGGCAGGGAGGCAGGGAGGGAGGGAGGGAGGGAGGGAGGCAGGGAGGCAGGGAGGCAGGGAGGCAGGGAGGAGGGAGGAGGGAGGCTTTTCCGGAAGGGATTACTTGAGGCTCCCTCAGACGCTGCACCTGCGTGTTTCTTGTCTGTTTATGTTGCACCAAACCATCTTCGAGTGCCACAAGGTCAATAGGACCCATCCATCCTTTGACAAAGTGCTTGGTTCCCAGCTGGAGGTGCTATGTTGGAGGGCTCTGGACGCTTTGGGAGGTGGGGCATGGCCACAGGAAGTAGGCCAGGCCTCTGAAACAATACACAGCCCTTGCTCTTTGCCTCCTGGTCGGTGTGGTGACCCATCAATCCATCGGAATCATCTGGAAGAAAGGTCTCTGAGCTTGTCTGTGAGGGGTTGTCCTGATTAGGTTAGCTGACATGGCAAGCCTGTCTTCCTCTCCTTTCCCTCCCTCCCTTCCTTCCTCCCTCCCTCCCTCCTTCCTTCCTTCTTTCCTCTTCTTTTTTGCCCTGGCCGGTCTGAATCTGTGTAGATCTGGCCGACCTGGTCTCAAACCCACAGAGATCCACCTGCCTCTGCAAGTGTGTGTGTGTGTGTGTGTGTGTGTGTGTGTGTGTGTGTGTGTGTGTGTGTGTGTGTGGTTTATTGGAATGACTTGCAGGCTGCAACCCAACTAACCCAACAATGGCCAGCTGTGAATGGAAAGTCCAAGGATCTAGTGGCCGCTCAGTCCCCTGAGTCTGGTGTCTCAGCCGGGCTTCTGAGTGTGCCGGTGAAGGAACGGATGTGCTGACAAGGCCCGGGTAAGCTGGCAGAGAGCAAAAGCTTCCTTCTTCTATGTCCTTATATGGACTTCCAACAGAAGATCCAGACTCGAAGGGCATTCACCCATTTCAAACCAGGCAGAGAAATCTGTGCAGCCTGCGTCTGAGAATGTAGCGAGGTGGTCGGGATAGATGACACAGAGACCGGTCGGTTGCTTTAAGAAAACTTTATGCTTCCCAAGTCAGCTTAGGAGGAGACCCCCAAGAAAAAACGCTTCCCTTTTTAAGGACTTCTGCCATCCATCTACATACAATTCTCCAACTGAGCTCTCACAGCTCTCCCAGACTTCTCACCCTCCTGGCTGGTGGTTTAATCTCCGGCCCCAGAATCGGGGAGACACAGCAGGGGGGACAGGAAGAAGCATCTAGCCTTAGGGGGTGCCAAAGCCATGGTGTTTCAGTGAGGGAGCCCTTATCTGAGCCCTATCAAGAGCTTTATAGCACTGAATTGTTTTCAGTAAACATTATCTCACAGCTGCCTGCTCCCAGGCTGAAGGGGAAGTGGGTTTCTGCTCAAGGTCTGGTGTCCCCACAATTCACCCCTTTTTATTTTTAAATGAGGCACTCCTGGCTTAGGTCAAGTAGGGTCACCCTCCCTTGCCCATCCTCGGGGGACCTTGAACCTCGGGGGGGGGGGGTCTTAGGTGGGAGGGGTCTTCCCCACAGGTTGCCCGTCAACAGAGCGCGCCAACCTTAGAATCATCTGTAATAAGGCTTTATGGCTATCGG